AGTTATAATTTATATGCAGATGAGAGTGTTGCTGTTTTATAATTCAAAAGTTTAAGTTCATTAATTTGCTATTTAAAAACCTATCCACTGTGAAGTGTAAGTAGATTTTTTTTATAAATAGGTATTTTATGTATTTTTAAAAAATATTAAGGTGTCAAAAGATACTATAACTTATTCCAAATGTACAAAGGGATCCCAGCAAACCAGGCTGTTCCATTTACATAACCATGATATAACTAACAAAGAACATTGCCATATAAAATTGTTTACATAATATTTACATATTAGTTATTTATTTTGTTACATAATTATGATAAAACATAGTAATATAACATTTATATAAATATGTTCCCCTCTTGTTATATTTACATCCTCCTTATGTATCAGCCATATAACAATGTTATATATCTACAATGGAACAATGATACATCATTGATATATGGCAATGTTTTATAGTATCCATATAACCTTATTATATGGTATTTACATAGTTTTTCTTTATTTTGTTACATAATTATAATAAAAAATTTTAATATAATAGTTATATCAAAATGATCCCTTCTTGTTATATTTACATCCCTATTATGTCATGGCTATATAACAATGTTTTATACCTACATTGTAACAATGATATATAAATGTTATATATTAATGTTTTATGGTATTTATATAGCCTTTTTATCTTACTAATGAACTCGTTTAAACGGTTGTGTCGAGTGCTCTCTATTGTGTTTTAAGTTAAGTTTGATTCCATTTTTTTATAATAAAATGGAAGACAAAAATAGAAAAAAAAATATTTCCCTATCCCGGAGGCAAAAGCGGAGGAGAATTAATGCAGATCTCAAAATAATGGGCGTGGAGGTAAGAAATTGTATAGAAAATACCCAAGACAATGTGGAATATACTGAGGCTAAAACCGAAGTATTATCTTTCCCTAACCAGCCAATAAATAAACATATAATAAAAATATTTTTACAGAAAATTTGGGAGAATATTCAGGAGGAAAAATTCCCATACTTTTGTGGAAGATTTGCAAGATTTGTGTAATAGATACTTACCTAGTCAACTTTTTATTAATGATCTGTTAAATGTTTTGAGAAAACATTATTGCAAAAAGAAGTAGAGGCTGAATTTGTAAGTATATAAAGGGCGATTTTAAACCTGTTTAATAATGTTAATTTGTTTTTAAAACAGGGTGCTAAAAAACAAGCGACAAATTATAATTTAATGATATTTGGTAGCCAAAATAAGAGTTTAATTTCTATATTTTTTTTTAACTTTATACTGTTTTTTCAACTGGTACTTAAAAGATACAATCAGAGATAAAGAAGGTTACAATAATACAATAATTTTGCTAAATAACCAAGATGGATACACTTTTTTATTATAATTGTTGTGACAATTAATTTTATGCAAATTCCATATTTTTCATTATTTTTATATCTCTTAAGGTTGCAGGGTGCATTTGACTTGAATAAATAAAATCAAACAAATTATTATTTGTACCAAATATCATTTACATAACTACATAAAGAATAGTTGTTCTTTGTTTTGAAAACAAATCAATAAACAAAAATAATATTAAATTGTATTTTTTTTCAGTTTCAGTATATAACAAAAATTGGAGGCGTCTCAGAGAAAGATGCCACAGTAAGAGTTATAAAGAAAATCTTCTCAAATAATTTGGCAAAAGATTGCTCTTGGCTGGGGCTAAGAAACAACAATAAAATTCAAAATTTAAAATCTGTTGAAATATTGAAGGGTAAAAATGTAAATTTTATGGGATTTTTTATTAAATAAAATTTTTTAAGCTGCTATGTGCACTTCGACAGACAAAAATTTTGAAGGCATAGTTTCCGAATGGTTCCGGCAGGCCAAACAAAGATTTGGTTTACCCTATAGGGAAGCAAAAAACCCATGAAAATAAGGTATATTAATATTAAATTCATGGGATTGCTTTATCTTTTTTACCATATATTTTTTAGCTTTGAAGTATTAATGTATTTGGGATTTTTTTTTTGTTTGGAAAAACTTTTCGTTTGTTTTAAGAAGTTAGAAAGAAGAAATGATTTGTTTTTTTTTAATTAAAATAATTTTTAATAAACATTTAAACCAATTTGTTTTTTTTTTAATCTCTTTCAGAATCATTTATTTTTGTAATGTTTACTTATTATTTATGTAATATTTATTTATAATTTATTTAATATATTATCTAACTGGCATTAACAATTTCTTAGTTCTAATTTGGTATTATGTCAATTTTAAAATTTTGTTGATTTTTTTTCAAAAAATTTGCCATAATACCAAGTTAGGGCTAAGCAATTTTTAATACCAGTAAGATAATATATTACATGAAATTATATTTATAAATATTTCATAAATAATATGTAAATATTGCATAAATTATATATAAATAAGTAAATGCAACATTTATGTAAATAGAATATAATTGTTTTATCACGTTTACATAACTATGATATGGCGCTGTAACATTACAGTTACATATCTATGATAAAACACTGTTACGTCACAGATACATACCCAGGAAGGGGTCTTGAGGCGGACATAGGAGCATCGCCATTACATATAGGTGACATAGCTGTTGCATAGTAAGGAACAATTTTTATGTAAATGTTATATCACTGTTACATAACTGATATGGCGCTGTAACATTACAGTTACATAACTATGATAAAACACTGTTACATCACAGTTACATACCCAGGAAGGCGTCTTGAGGCGGACATAGGAGCATTGCCATTACATATAGGTGACATAGCTGTTGCATAGTAAGGAACAATTTTTATGTAAATGTTATATCACTGTGACATGATTTGGTTTGCTGGGATGTTTAAAAAAAACATACGAAATCCTAACCTCCGTGAAGCTATCTTCTGTGGCTTTCCAAAACCCCATTCTAGACTAACAGTAAAACAACCAAAAATAAAAAATAATCATTTTTACCTGGCGGACATCTCAATATATTCACCCAAATAACTTACATTTAAAATTCATACATTGTATGCATATCCCTTAAAATATTTTATCGGTTGTTGATTCAGTTCAAAACTCTCATTCCATTCAAAACTGCACTTCAAACCTATAAAAAACATGCTCCGAATTTTAATCGGCCATCTTTGTTTTTTTTATTACAAATTGTTTAGCTGATTTATCGGGAAATTACCGCGCTCACGTAAGAATTTAATAACGATATAAATTCATATTAGGTATGCACCTCAAAATTAAACATTCCTTGCCCAAATACTACGCGAAATTATCAAATATCCATTAAATACACCTTTAAACGAAGAAGGAATTTGTAAAGTCGGTAAAATAATTTTAATTAAAGGTTTTATAATATTAGCTGACCACCAAGATCCTGTGATTTAAAGCTACCAGACTTTTTACGCGAGTGTCTAATAGACGGCTAAGAAATTAAAATTAAGTAATAAAACTTTTTATTTAAATTTCTCCAGGATACTTGAATTAAATTACTTTTCAAAATATAAATTAATTTCACCGTTGTTTCAAGCTCCCGCCTTTTTTAGCATAATTGTCTCACCTCTAATAATGGTTTTCCGATATTCCCTTAGGGTGCTTTGGATGCTCCCGCCATTAGCTCGATGTTCTTTTGTTTGGCGTCAGGCGCGGTGCGAAAACACTTGACACTGCCATAATATTTTCTTTTGTTTCGCTCAAGAGATAATGGCTCGAATATCTAGAGCACCCTGGGTGGCATAACAAGGATGAAAATGAACAAGAAACTGGGACAAAAAATGTTTTGTGAATTAATTTTTTTGTGTGTGATCTGTAAGAATAATAATTTATGCCAAAAGTATTAAACTAGTCAAGTGTTGATATTGGGCTTGAATTTTTCTGCAAGTAAAATATACACAACAATTTCGTTTTTTTTTTGTGAATTTATTCAAAACAACTATTATAAATTTTTACATTTCTTCACAACTTAAATGTCAACTAATGGTATATTGTGCAAAAAGTGAAGAACAAGAACGCGAAAAAATGAAAATTTAAATCGAGAATTTTTTACCTTGTCCCAGAGTCGTTTTTACAAACAAGACAACAAACGGAAAAAGACACTGGAAGCAAAATCATGGTCCTACTGGAAAACATAGACCACACCTATCACAAATTAAAGAATTTTTTGGACAAAGTTCCCAAATTGTAGAATTAAAGCTCTTAGTACTTATGGTTGCATGGCCTTAGGCTAAAACCTTGTTTAATAATATAATATGATGTATTACTGCTGTATATTGAATAAATAAATAAGAGTCGTTTCACTTATCTGGGGACACACTGTATAAATGAAATTACAGGTATTAATTTAAAGAATGCATAGTATTTTTAATAAACATCAAATTAAAAAAATATGATATGTGCGTATTTTTCCCACTATTTTTTAATTTTATACTACTGTGTCCTAAATTGTTTTAAACTTATATGATCCATTTCTTTGCGACTCACCCCTGTAAAATCTTTATTTATTGTGCGATTTTAACCGGATGGAGCAAAAAACGCCATATTTTTACAAAATGCAGTTTTTAAGAATTCATATTAGCCATATTTTTAAACAAAATCTAAGCAAGGCACTGGATTCACCCCTCAAAACGACCCTATACTAAATTTTCTTGAAAAATTTTAAGTAGAAAAATGCACAATATTGAAATATAATTAAACTTATAGTAATAGTACCATGTTATAATTTTTTTTAGGTTTACTATTCTTAGTTACACCATAAAATAAAAAAAATGGTTTCACAAGTCCAAGAATGTCCACTAGAACCAGGGACCCGGACCGAAACCGAAAAAAACCGAAAACCGGAACGGAACCGGTTTTTTTTCCGAACCGAAACCCGAACCGTTTTCGCTTTTGATAAAATCTGTTGGACCGGAACCAAAACCTTTATTTGCTTTCATTCTAATAACATATATATATGTGAGGTTATAGATTAAAATTACGTAAAACAAATAACCTCACTGGAACCGCTTAAAACCGAAAAGAACCGAACCGTTATAACTCCACGAAACCGAAACCGGAACCATTAAAACGAAAATAGGGTGAACCAAAACCGTACCGGAACCGATATTTCATTTCGGTCCGGGTCCCTCACTAGAACAACAGCATTTCAGACTTAAAAAAAACAAACATTTACTTTGAATTTAAGTTTATTATAAACATTGGAATTATTTTATTTAACATGCTATATAATAATAAATAGATAGGTACATACATACAAGAAGGGAAAAGGGGTGTAAAGTTTGGCTATAATATAGATTGAGCACAAATTTTGACAAATTATGGAAATAACATGTGCTTCAATAATTTTAAGAAGACTAAAAATAAATTGGCAGTAAAATCAGATCTATTGAGCCATTTTGCATTTAAAAAACACATTTTTAAAATTTAAACTTAAAAAATGATTTTTTTAAATGGTTTTACAATAGTCCCTTTAAATTAGTACTATTTACACATTACATTTCAAAAAAATACAGTCAACTAAAAAACACACATATTATTTTCTATTATACAAAAATAACTGTTGTTGTTGTTGGGCTTTTTGAGCACAATAAAAATATTTTAAATTTTACAACACAAAACAAAACTGTATTAACTCCATACAGTCTATTCCCTTTAGCCTGTCTTGTGTACTATAGTCACACTCTTACCAACTAAATAAAACGAAAAGAAAAACTCGTATTGCATTATTAATTAACTATAAAATATCACATGGAAAATATGAAATCAACTAGAATGGCAATTGGTTCCGTATTTTTTTGTTTTTTTTTGTTCAAAAAAATGCCGACGGTACGGATTTATTCAATTATTTTGTTTGTTTGCAGAAGCGGAGATCCCTCAGGGATCCGTAACGTCAGTCTGTGTGATGAGAGAATCTCGGAAAATCAGTCTGAAATTAATTTTCCCTGAAAAAAAAACAATAAAAATGTGAGTTTTATTTCATAAAGGCCCTGAATGTCGTATCAATGTCAAGAATGTCATAAAAAATGATAATATCGCAAGGTATAAATCAAATTTTAAAGGTTTCAAGGTAACAATATATATCAAGATTCTTTAATGACAAATTTAAAATGAATTACGGTCATAAAGGTAAAATATATAATGTTTTAACTTAAGTTAAAACTTTTAAGGTCAATAATGCCAAATTAAAATGTTTTAAGGCTATAAATACCGCGAATGTAAAGTATAAAATTGAGGTCAAAAATGTCAAATTTAAGGTCACGAATGTCACATTTAAAATGTATTAAAGTCATAAACGTCAAATATATGATGATTAATGTCAATAATGCCAAATAAAAAGGCTATCCATGACAAAATAAAACAAAATAAGGCCACGATTGTCAAATTTCAGTCAAAAACGTAAAATATAAAATGTTAAGGTCAATAATGCCAAATAAATTGTTTTAACGCTGTCAATGTCAAAATTTGTTTTCAAGGCTATAAATGTCATGTCATATTAGAGGTTTTATAATGTCAAATGTTTTGAGTTTAAAGAATGTCAAATTTAAAATGTTTCAAGGTCATAAACATTAAATATATTTTCAAAAATACTAAATTAATACGTTTTAAGGCTTTAAATATATAAATTAAATTTTTCCAAGGTCACAAATTTCAAATATAAAATGTCTTGAGGTTAAAGAATGTCAAATTTAAAATATATCAAGGTCATAAAGGTCAAATATAAAAAAAAGGACAAGAATGCCTAATTAAAATGTTTGTTTCAAAATTATAATTGTTCAGGGTCAAGAATGTCAAATTTTAGTTTTAAGGCTATAAATGTCAAATTTAAAAGAGGTTTTAAGGTCTATAATTTCAAATTTAAAAAGTAACATAAACGTCAAATATAAAATGTCCCAAGGTCAAGATAAAATGTTTTAAGGTCATAAATGTCAAAATTAAAATTATTTAAGATATATTAAAATTCTTGGGGCCAAGAAGGTGAAATTTTGGGTTTAAGGCAATAAATGTTATATTCAAGAGGTTCATATGTCAAATTTAAAATGTATCAAAGTCATAAACGTCAAATATAGGATGTTAAAAACGCCAAATTAAAATTTCAAATTTTAGTTTTGGCCTATAAATGTCATATTTAAGACGTTTGAATGTCAAAAATGTCAAATATAAAATGTTTAAAGGTCCAAAATGACAAATTAAAATATTTTTAAGGCTTTAAATATCAAAATTAAAATTTTCAAGGTCACTAATGTCTTTAGGCCATGAATGTCAAATTTTAGTTTTAAGGCTATGAATGTCAATTTTAAAAGTGTATCAAGGTCATAAACGTCAAATATAAAATGTCGAATTTTAGTTTATAAGACTATAAATGTTAAATTTAAAAAGTATCAAGGTCATTAACGTCAAATATAAAATGCCATAAGGTGCTAAGGTCAAGAATACCAAATTAAAAATGTTTTAAAGCTAAAAAGAAATTGTTTTGTAAAAATGATAAATTTATATTTTAAAGTCATTTAAAATGTTAAAAAAGTCAAAACACAAGGATAGAGGATTATTTTTTACAGGATGTCTCAAAATGGCATGCCAGGGGATAGTTTTTTAGTTTAAAAACAATTTTTTAAAATAAACTATATTTTTTGTTTTTAATGTTATTTATTTCAATTATCATTGCTCTGGGAAAATAAAAATCTTAAAATTTAAAATTTGAAATTAAAAAAACATATTTACCCATTTTGACCGGGGTAGTAGTACGGAGGGGGTCTTTCGTACTCGGTGGGGGCGCGTTGATACTGAGGGGGGCCCCCGGCCGGAAATTCCTCCCAGTGCCTTCAAAAAAGTAATAAAATTACTAATCGACGATTAAAACGTCGCAAAAATTAAAAATAACAAAAAAAATCATAAAATAATAAATAAAAGTGTGTTAATTTTTTTTTGTTATTTTTACTTACTTTGGGGCCATGTCTGCATACCTTGCGTCAGGTTGGGAACCAGAGGCGTACTCCCTGGTCACTATTTCCCCTCCAATGTTTTGGGGGCGGTCCTCGTACCTCTTGGCCTTTTTCTTGTTGTTTTTTTTGTTCCTCTTATTTCTGCTAATTGAAAAAAACAATTTTAAAAGAATGTTTTTTACTAAGAAAATTCAGTTTTGCGTTTAGGGGATGTTTCTTGAAATTAGCGACCCAACCTTCCATAGAAAAATTTAATAGAAAGAAACAAATCAAAGTCGTAAATTTCAAGATAGAATTTTAGTACCAAGTGCTGAAGCATAGATGATATAGGGTGTTTTTTCTATTATTTCTGAACGATTTTCCCACGACTACTTACCTATTAAGTGGTATGTTATCCCTATCAGAGTAGGCATCATACAAATACTCGCTAAAAAAAGGATTAACATTAGAAATGATGAGCGAAAATTAGAGACATGAAGCATGATTTTCCAGACAAAAAAAAACGCAAAAACACTCACGCTTCGACGTAAACGCCGTTCGACTTCCTCTTCTGATAGATAACGGCCAATTTGGTGGAAATAATGATCGTGGGTATGTAGAGAAGTAAGCAGCAGAACAAATTGAACCAATAACCGTTGAGGGGCATCAAAATTCTGTCGCAGGTCGAGACAAGAGTGAAATCGAACACCCTGTATAAGTTTTCGCAACGGCCCACGTCCTTTTCGATGCTACCGGTCACGCGAGATACGTAAGCGTTTACCAGTTTTTTTACGGAGTTTATGAACTTGATGGCGGTCTAAAAATAATAATAATAATAATAATAATGTGTTCATTTCGAATTTTGTCGAAATCGGCCAGTTAATAAGCGTTTTGTGTTTCAAGGTCATTGATGGCCTTGAAAAGCGGAACTTTCGTATTTGTAGGCCGATTTCGTTTATTCTTTTTTAGGATTGTTATGAAAAACACAATTTTCATTTTTAAAATTTTTAAAGTTTGGAAATTCGTTAAATAATTTAATTTTTTTTTTTAAATCGATTAGGCATGTTTTGATTTGCGTTGATTTTAAATTTTGTTCAAATCGGCCGATTATTAAGCTAGATATGAAGGTTTTTGTGTTTCAAGATCCTATATGTCATTTGTGACCTTAGAATCGTAACTTTTTTATTTGTGGGCCGATTAAGATAATTTTTTGTGGATTTGTTATATAAAAAAGATATTTAAAAAAAAATGCAAATTTGATAATTAATCATATTTGGAAATAAGTAAAATAATTAGAAATATTGGTAATAGATTAGGCATGTTTTGCATGTGATAATTTTTTTGAGAATTTGTTACGAAAAAAACATTTTTCATATTTTTAAAAAATTGTCAATTTGATATTTTTTAATAATGATTGGAAATACGTAAAATAATTAGAAAAATTTTAAATAGATTAGGCATGTTTTGATAAACAGGTATTTTAAATTTAGTTAAAATCGGCCTATTATTACGCGAGATATGAAGGTTTTCGTTTTTCAAGGTCATAAATGTCATTTGTGACCTTGGAAATCGTAACTTTCCTATTTGTGGGACGATTGTGATGATTTTTTTAGAGGATTTGATATAAAATACACGATTTTTCATATTTTGTAAGATAATATTTAAAAAAATGTCAATTTGAAACTCTTTAATAATGTTTGGAAGTTAAAAAAATAATTTTAATAAAATGGAAATAGATTAGGCATGTTTTGATTTGTGTTTATTTTAAATTTTGTTAAAATCGGCCAATTATTAAGCGAGATACGAAGGTTTTTGTGTTTCAAGGTCATAAATGTCATTTGTGACCTTGAAAATCGTAACTTTCTTATTTGTGGGCCGATTGTGATGATTTTTTTAAAAGATTTGTTATGGAAAATACAATTTTTCATATTATGTAAGATATTTTTAAAAAATGTGTCTCTTTGATATTTTTTAAAAATGTTTGGAAACAAGAAAAATTGGATATAGATAAGGTATGTTTTGATTTGTGTTCCTTTTGAATTTAATTAAAATCGGTCAATTATTAAGCGAGATACGATTGTGTTTCAAGGTCATAAATGTCGTTTGTGACCTTGAAAATCGGAACTTTCTTATTTGTGGGCCAATTGTGATGATTTTTTTGAGGATTTGTTATGGAAAATACAATTCTTCATATTATGTAAGATTTTTTAAAAATTGATATTTTGATATTTGATATTTTTTAATGTTGGAAATAATTAGAAAAATTGATGTGTGTTCATTAAAATGAATATAAAAATTTTGTGAAAATCGGCTGATTATTAAGTAAGTGTCATAAATGTCATTTGTGTACTTGAAAATCTTAACATTCTTATTTGTGGACCGATTGTGGTGATTTTTTTGTACATTTGCCAAAAAACAATATTTTGTCCGTTTTTTAAAAATGATGTCAAAATAATTAAAAAAATTACCTCAACCAAATGTTTCTTTCCCTCATTTTTGATCATTCTTTCAGCTCTTTGAATTTCATCAATTAGATCCCTAATAGCATCTGAAAAACTATTTTTGCCCATATTTATGGAGGACCCCAGGTTTATAGCTATTTCCTAAAAAAAAAATCGTTGTCACTTCCAAATGGTTTAATAGATTAAATACTATACCTTAGCTCTATTGGCAACCCTAATCATAGGCTTCAAAATTTTTTCCTCGTAATTCTCCAGATCATACAAGCTTAGGTTTAGGTCGGATTTAAGGCTTTCCGGTGCTTTATTGTACACGACTTTCAGTTGCTTTTTAACGTCGTCCAAACTCACGGTGGTGTAATTGTTGTTTTCCAGTTCCTCTTCGAACTTGTCGAAGTTGAAGTTGGCCGTGGACTCGGCCAACTTCTGCAGAACATCCCGGCTTTTCCTATCGAGGATGAAAAAGTCATCCGGCACCGACTTATCAAAGTTCAGGCCGTCCAAAGTCTTATTGATGTCTAATTGTTCGATGATGTTCCTCATCTTAAACCTGGACTCCAAGTTGAACACCTTGTAGACGCTCTGGTTCTTGGTGCAACGCTCGTAAATTTGCTGAATGTTCGCGTCCAAACCGAACTGTTTAAAATCGTAATTATCCTTGATGTAGGATAATATTTTGGAATCGCCTGGCCGCCTTAGCGGCTCGCAGACGCCTTTCTGCGACGCTATACCCACCAAGCTCAAAACTACTATAACGACGGCAAAGACGAAGCCTGTGAAGAACATCAGCGAGACCCCACTGAAAAAAAAGTTATAAATTTCGCCAATGGGGTACTTAGTTAAATTTTTTCTGACCTATACTTTTTATGGTTTTATTCAAGGCGTTTTGTAACTTTAAACATTTCTGTGAAATCGGAATTTCAATTGAGTTTACCGTTTTCGAGATATTTACAAAAAAAAATCTCCTAATTACGTATTGACAACGTTGCCAGCTTTTTCTATGGTTGCCAGTGCGTTTAGTTTAAGATTCTTACGATAGATGGCGCCACGTTATAATATTTTAGTTTTAAAACCATTTGATCTATAATTTTAGTTGAGAAGAAGAAGAAGAATTGATTTTTTGACGTTTCTTTTTTTCGGGTTCTGTTTTTTTTTTAATTTAGATTATTGAAAATCAATGTTATTGTTATGTTATTTGTAATTGATATTAGAAGTGATTCATTAATAACGGACTCCAAAGCAGAGGAATCTTGTGGAATGGTTGGTTACATTGAACATTGGAGCTTTTAAACAAATAAAGTAAGTACAATTGGCGTCCCCGAAATGTGAACGGCAAAATTTAATCGTGTAATATGGGCTTTGCATCAGTGTCGTCGGTAGTTGTCAAATTTGATAATAGTTGTCAATTGCAATATTAAAAATGCCACCCCACTTAACCGAGGCTCAGAGGTCCAGGGCAATAGCCAAATTAGAAGAAAATTGGTCTTTAAGTGAAGTAGCTGCAGATTTAAATGTCAGTAAAAGCTGCATATTTTATATCAAAAAACATTGGCAAGAACAACAAAGATTAAGAAGACCTATCAGGCAAGGTATAGGAAAAATCTCCAACGAAAATGAAGACAATGCTCTTGTCGCACATATTAGGCAAAATCCTTTCAATAGCGCAGTTAAGGCCCGAGAAGATACACAATTTCCAGGATCTCTTCGAACAGCTCAAAAAAGATTAAAACAAGCTGGTTTAAAAAACTGTGCTGCTGCTCATAAGGTTTTTTTAACTGAAGAAAATAAGCGCAGGAGAGTCCAGTTCGCCAATGACTATTTAAATTATGGAGAAGATTTTTGGAATAATGTTATATTTTCGGATGAAAAAACGTTCCAATCTTGCAATAATGGAAGGCTGCGTGTATATCGTCCAAGAAACGCAAGATTTGAGGAGAACTATACATTAAAAACCTCAAATAGTGGACGCTTTTCCATAAATGTTTGGGCGTGGATAAGCATCCATGGTCCGGGAGTATGTTGGGAAATTGATGGTAGATTAACGGCTGAGCACTATACCAGGATTTTGGACAACGTTATGCTACCTTCAGTTAGACATGTGTTTCCAGAAAACTTTATATTTCAACATGTAAGAAAACTGTATAGTATTCAAAAACGATTCTAATAAATATTATATTACAGGACAATGCACCAGTTCACACAGCTCGCGTGGTTACAGAGTGGGTAAACAACAACCACATAACTGTTTTGCCATGGCCAGCTAGAAGCCCTGACTTAAACCCCATTGAAAACGTGTGGGGTTTTATAGTTAAAAATATATATCAACGGGACTTTAGGCCAGCAAACCGAGATGAACTATGGAGTGCTGTTGAAAATTCTTGGGATGAGCTTGCTGATTCATACGACATGCGTGAGCTAATAATGTCCATGCCAAGAAGGTTGCAAAGGGTTGTGGCAGCTAATGGCTCTGCAATTAAGTATTAAAATAGCTTAGCAGCACAGTTTTTTAAGCCAGCTTGTTTCAATCTTTTTTGAGCTGTTCGAAGAGATCCTGGAAATTGTGTATCTTCTCGGGCCTTAAATGCGCTATTGAAAGGATTTTGCCTAATAAGTGCGACAAGAGCATTGTCTTCATTTTCGTTGGAGATTTTACCTACACCTTGCCTGATAGGTCTTCTCAATCTTTGTTGTTTTTGCCAACGTTTTTTGATATAAAATATGCAGCTTTTACTGACATTTAAATCTGCCGCTATTTCACTTAAAAACCAATTTTCTTGAGCAATATGTTAATTTAGTTATGTTATTTTTATTGTGTATTTACCTACTTGTTAATTTATATTGTTGTATAAAACCAAATTAAAGTTAATTTATTTGTTATATTGTTTATATTATTGTTTGTTAAAATATTATTAAAAAAATAGAACGATTTAGGATATTGTTCTTATTCTTAGTATTCTCCCTTCTATATGTAACACCACTGGCCGAAGCCAGGAATGAACGAATAAATTTTATGAAAAAAATCCATGACAACAAAAAATCGTTCACATTTCGGAGACGCCAATTGTACCTATAATTATAATCATATTTTGTCGTAAATGCATTTCATTAGTATAATGCCTTGTTCTTTATATTCTTTTAGATATATCTTGGACTCTAAAATATCAAACAGTAATATGATACCTCGTAATAAGGAAGATAGGTACTTAATGAATTTGGTGACCATCTTTCACTCAACTGACAGTGACAGTATTTGTACATAACCTCTTCGGGTATTTTCTGACATAACCGAATGAAATCATTAACAAGACAACTTGACAACAGGGTAATTTTCAACCGATAGAAATCTTAGAATGTTGGTCACATGGCGAGGTTTGTGACGTCATAAAAATTTATGTTTTTTGTAAATATCTCGAAAACGGTAAACTCAATCGAAATTCTGATTTCACAGAAATGTTTAAAGTTACAAAACACCTTGAATAAAACCATAAAAAGTATAGGTCAGAAAAAATTTAACTACCCCATACAAGCCAAATTTCCTCACCAAATCAGCAATTTGCTGCCGGCACCTTTATTGCAGCAATTATCGTTGTAGCCATCGGGTCTTTTCCCGCATATACCCCAAATCAGACCGAGGGTTATAAATATAGCTATAGCCAAAAGACTGCAGGCTATACCTGTACCAACGGAGTGCACGTAGACTCCGTATTTTTTCATGTAAAAATCGCCCTTCTCCAAGTAGGGGTCTGCGGTGTTGTCAAGTGTATCGCGCATGTCGTCTATGGTGTTCGTGATCATTTTAAGGTTTTCGTCTATGGTGCGGCCTAAAACAAGCGCGGGCTTAAAATCGCCTTCGTTCGAACGAAAATTCGATATTTACCGGCATTGGCTAGATGTTTTTGCGCTTGGTGTATGTTCTTTTGGAACTCGCTGTGTATGGTCTTTTTTACGTCGTCCAATTTTTTCATGCCGCTTTTGGCAGCACCTTGCAACTCTTTGATTTTAAACTCCTTGAAAGCAGCTATTTCTTCCGATATATCGGGGAGCTAGAGTAACATCAAAATAACAAAAATGCTATGCATAAAGAACCGACTATTTGAAAAAAATATTTTTGAATTGATAAGACCAGGACTAGGGTTTTAAAGTGTCGGAAAAATTGGGAAAAAACTGTTTTTTTCCCAGGCCTTGAAAAAATACACATTTTAAAAAAAGTAGCAAACATCTTAACATTATTTTAATTAAAAAAAAACATCCTTTATTACAGAAAAAACTGAATTAAATTGAATTGAATTAATTTGATTTAAGAAAATAAAAGTAAACGTTAAATATACTGTCGGTTCGTTCGTTGAAAATATCCAATTACAAAATAATGAATTAAATTACAAATTTATAATTTTATAACTTAAAGTGTCAAATAAAACAGTTTTGTTAAATACATCAAATTGAATCTTACTTAATAAATAAAAATAAAAGGAATAATTATTATACAGGGTGTCCCATAATTAACGTGAAATACTTTAACAGCAGATTCTACGTACAAAAATAAGAAAAAAGGGTTTGAAAAAATCATGATTTTAAAAAAAAAATCAAAAATCGATGATTTTTATTAAAAAAATCAGCAAAAAATGATTTTTTTTATTTTTAGTACGATTTTTCAAAATTATAAGTTTTTTTTAATAAAGTATACTATTAAAAAAAATACTAAAAATAACTTCACTATAATAAAATTATATTGGCACTACTTTATAAACAAATAGACCACCGTCCGCAACTGTCATATATTTTTTTGTATATTTCTTTAGGTATTATTTATTTAACAAAACAAGCAGTTTTTCTATGCATATAAATTTATTTAAAAAGTGTCAAGATATTATTGTGCTTTAGTTTTAAATCCTATAAGTTTTATTTTAGATTTTAGAAACTTTTTTAAAACTGATTCAAAACCTTAATAAAAATTAAAAAAATTGTTGATTTAAACCATGCTATAAACATAGGTCGAGAAATGTTGAAGTATTTTGTTAAAGTATTGCACGCTAATTATGAGACACCCTGTATTCATCATAATATTATATGATAATAATCAGCGTCGGAAATTCACTTTTTTGTGTACGGATATTTTCCGTAAAAATTTCAGGAAAATTGACTTGCATTTTTTTGCATTACCTTTTGAATAAAGTCATTTTTTTTTAATTTCCCAATTTTTCCCATTTTGTGATAAATCTACTCTTTCAAAATTTATTTAAAAAGTATTTAAAAGGTGAAATGGCAAATTCCCGTGTTCCTTGTTTTATTTCGTTTCCTATTGGTCTGGTCTTAAAATGAATCTTTTTGTGATATTCAAAACAGTAAAAAAACATGCGGACGGAACAAATCACAAAACTGTTTTTATAAAAAAAAATCAGCTTATTTATTATATATTATTTTTGCATTAAAATTGTCAAAAATATGTTTTTTATTACGCTATACATTAAATAAAAAAACAACAAATATTAAATAAAAGTAGAGATAATTTAAATAAGACAGAAAACTTTTTTTAACTTTTATAAAATATTTCCTATAAAACAAGAATATTTTTGAAAATTTTTATGCCAAAATATTATACAATAAATTACTTAAAATTGAAGATATTTTTTTCAATTTTTATTCCTGCATTTTATTTTTTTCATAAATGACTAATGATCCTTAAAGGGCATTAAATTATCAACAAAAAATGCCATTGAGTGACATCGATAATATAATATTATTAATATTTAATTTACAAGACTCATAAAATGTAATTTTGATAAAATAACGCGTTGTAAAGATTTAGAAACTAAACTATTGATAATAGGTCAAAAAGTTAGATTGCAATTTTTTGCACTTTTAATTTTCTTTAAAATTGTTTCAAACAAATCCATTGTAAATAAAATAGCAAAAAAGTTTACACTTTTTTGTTTTATTAGATCTAGAAAATAAACTATTGTGGGTCAAAAAGTCAGATAGAGATTTTGTAGTACTTTTAATTTCTTACCAAATTGTTTTAACAAATTTATTTCTATCATTAATAGTTAAAAAAGTTATATACATATTTTTATGATTTTTTGCGTTATTTGTGAAAAGGCTCTATGTATATAATTGATTATCCTGAAGAAAAAAAATACTGCACGTTTTAACACTTGTCATGCATAATTTAAGCATTTTTCATACATGTCAAGCTTTTTATTTAAAATATCATAATGATTACCAGATAGATATAAATTGGAAAGGAGGAAAGCGCCTGAGGGGGGACACGGGAATTTGAAATTATATCCTTTAGAATGAAATATCCAAAAGATGTACCATTAAATAACTTTTGAAAGGGCAGGTTTATCAGAAAATGATAGGAGACCTTTTTTGTAGTTTAAAGAAAAAATAAAACAAAATTCGTAGTTTTCAAATAGTCGATTTTTTTTAAGTCTAATAAATGTATACGTATGTATTATGTAACATAAATGTCACATGCTTAAAATGGCTAAATCGTACTAAAAATGGCAAAAATAAACGAAAAAAAGTCATACAATAAAGTAGGAATAAATAGGCATCTACAGGGCGTTCTATTTTTGTTCAATTAATTATACCATGCCTATAATGACCGTGACTTACCCTTGGAAAATATCTGTCAACGTACTGCACAAATATACATTAAAAATGTTAAATGTTTAAAAGATAAAAGTAAATGAATAATTAAAAATCTTACCTTATTAAAGTCAATGTTGGTCTGTAAGTAGTCAACTTGTCTTTTGAAGTCCGCGCATTCTTGTAATGAGCAATTATTCAAAACGTTCAACAGTTGAGCCTTCACTTTGCGCATGGCTAAAAAAAATTCAAAATAAAACGTTTAAAAATGTATAAAAAAAATTTCTTACCGTCGTTGAGGGTGCTGGCTTTGGCGCGCAATACGTTCGTCAAGTTTTTCAGGGTGTCCATGTCGTCGCGTATGCTCGGTATGTTGTTTACGAACGTTGCCAGATTTGTCATCGACGTCGCGTTCGAGAATTCCATCAATTCGTTGACCACGGCTGAACTGCTTTCTGGAGGAAAAAACATTTATTTCAGGGGATAAAAATGTAAAATGTTCAATGAATAAATATATACAGTGTGAGTGTGACTAGGGTTGGGAAAATTTCACTTTTTGCTTTCACTTGAAATTTTCACGACATTTATGAAATTTATTGAAACTTTCAATAAATTTCAATCACTTTAAGTGTAATATATTAATATTGAAATAAGCCCACTCGGTGACCATGGCAAATTGCCTCTCTTACCTCCTACCCCTCTGTGGGCCCCTGCACCAATAATATAAATAGTAAATACCTATGTTTACCACAAATTTCTTGAGATTTCCTTTAAAAATATTTTTAAAATTACTAAAACTAAAAGAGATATAGCACTTTTTGGTAAGCTAATGAGATTGTGCCACTTTCATTGTTTTATATTTATATATATTTATCATTTTTATATATTTTACTGAAATTTTACAAAAAGTGAAGAAACTTCATCAAAATTTTATGAGCCAAAGGCATTTTTTATCCGTTTTCGGATACAATTATAGCAAAAGTAAAAGTTTAAATTAATCAAGAATTTAAAAAAAAAATTAAAGTCTGATTTAATTTACAAATTAAATTGGTAACTGAATTAAATTATTTAAATTAATTTATGCATATAAGTAACAATAATTACTTATAGGGTATTCAAATCCAAGCCGAACTAAACAAAAACGCCCAGACGCTTGATGTGACCCATTTGTTTGCGACTCACCCCTGTAAAATCTTTATTTATTGTGCGATTTTAACCGGATTTCTTTTAAAGTGTAGATCTTGATAAACTGTATGTTTGGAGCACCACCCCTCAAAACTACCCTATACTAAATTTTATTGAAAAATTTTAACAAAAAAAAATGCACAAAAATAACTACAAATAACATGGTACTATTAGGTACTATAAGTTTAATTTTATTTCAATGTTTTTTCATGGATAACTTGACAAAATAATTTTTTGTAGTTATTATTGTGCATTTTTTTTCTTAAATTTTTTTAATAAAATTTAGTATAGGGTTGTTTTGAGAGGTGGCGAATCCAGTGCCGTGTTTGGATTTTGTTTAAAAAAATTGCTAACATGATTTCTTAAAAATTTACTCTTAAAAACTGAAATAGTAGGTCACACTGTATCAAAATACCCAGCCGTTTCAATAGACTTAGAATTCTAATTAATTAATTACGCAACTTTTCTCCTATATAACGGACATCCTAGCTCTTCAAATAAAAAAGAATACCCATATGTTCGTTTTGAAGAAACAATTATTTTCTCACACCCCAATCAAATTATTTTTTTAAATTAGGATTATAAAAAACTTAATTTTGTATAAAAAAAGTACATGTTTAAGAGATGTAGAGCATTTAATAAATTTTAATGTCAAATATTGATAAAACTAATAACTATCAATAGTTGACAGTAAAATTTATTAAATGCCTTTTAAACCATGTAATTTATGACTTGTTTTGTAGGAAATTGAATTTTTCACAAAAGTTTTGTTCACTTTTTACCTGTAACTTTAACCGTTGTGCATTAAAACAACTAATTAGTTTATCAATATTTGACAGTAAAGTTTATTAAATGCTCTATATCTTTTAAACTATGCATTTTATTGCATACATGCATATGACTAGTTTTGTAGGAAATTACATTTTCTATAAAAGTATTTTTTACTGTTTACCTTTTACTTAATTAACTGTTTTGCTGCAAAACAACATAGGACTAATTAGTTTATCAATATTTGACAGTTCAATTTATTAAATGCACTATATCTTTTAAACTATGCATTTTATTGCATTAATTCATAAAACTTTTTTTGTAGAAAATTGAATTTTCTATAAGTATTTTTTACTTTTTACCTTTTACTTAAACCATTTTGCTGTGAAACAATATAGGACTAATTAGTTTATCAATATTCGTCAGTAAAATTTATTAAATGCTTTATATCTTTTAAACTATGCATTTTATTGCATTAATGCATATGACTTTTTTGCAGGAAATTAAATTTTCTATAAAACATTTTTAACTATTTACCTTTTACTTTAACCGTTTTGCTGAAAAACAACATAACAAGTTTATCAATAATTGACAGTTAAATTTATTAAATGCTACATATCTTTTTAACTATGCATTTTATTGAATTTTCTATAAGTCTTTTTTACTTTTTACCTTTTACTTTAACCGTTTTGCTGTAAAACAACATAATAGGTTTATCAATATTTGACAGTTAAATTTATTAAATACTTTATATCTTTTAAACTATGCATTTTAATGCATTATTGCAGAGGACTAATAATTTTTTCCTTTTTACCTGTAAATATAACCTTTGTGTCGTAAAAAATATAGGACTAATTCATTTATCAATATTCGTCAGTAAAATTTATTAAATGCTTTATATCTTTTAAACTATGCATTTTATTGCATTAATGCATATGACTTTTTTGCAGGAAATTAAATTTTCTATAAAATATTTTTCACTATTTACCTTTTACTTTAACCGTTTTGCTGTAAAACAACATAACAAGTTTATCAATATTTGACAGTTAAATTTATTAAATGCTTTATATCTTTTAAACTATGCATTTTAATGCATTATTGCAGAGGACTAATATTTTTTTACTTTTTACCTGTAAATTTAACATTTAACCTATCAATATTTGACAGCGTGATTTATTAAATGCTTCATAACTTTTTAAACTATGCATTTTATTGCATTAATGCATAAAACTTTTTTTGTAGAAAATTTAATTTCCTGCAAAGAAGTCATATTTTACCTGTAAATTTAACCTTTGTGTCGTAAAACAATAAAGGACTAATTCGTTTATCAATATCTGACAGCACAATTTATTAAATGCTCCATAACTTTTAAACTATCCATTTTATGATTTTTTTGCAGGAAATTGCATTTTTCATAAATGTTTTCTTTACTTTTTACCTGCAAAACATCATAGGACTATTGGATATTTGAAAGTAAAGTTCATTAAATGCTCTATATCTTTTAAACTATGCATTTTATTGCACTAATGCATAAAACTTTTTTTTTCTATAAAATTCGTTTATCAATATTTGACAGTAAAGTTTATTAAATGCTCTATATCTTTTAAACTATGCATTTTATTGCATTATTGCAGAGAATCTTTTTTGTGGGAAATTGAATTTACTTACTTTCCATAATGTTCACCAAACTGACATTGAACTCCTTGAAGTTGGCGCTGAGCAAATTGTTCATCTGAGTTTTGGTGTTGTTGAAAAATTTGTTGGTATCCCTGACGCTCTTCTTCATGTTGGCGGGAAACTGGTGCAACCCGTCGTAGAACTGCTGGTTTGAGCCGAACGCGCACACCACGCAAAACCTAAAAAACGTCGCACGATTTTTCGTTGCGAATCGAGCGAAATTGAATCGACCACTTACAGCAGCGACGTTCCCAGCACGATGAGCAGCGTGCCGTTGAGTATCTTCCGGCAGAGGTCGCCCTTCTTGTCGGCCATTTTCTTTCGGCCGCCGCACTTGCCGCAGCAGCACCGGCAGCAGCAGAAACACAAGCCGCACAGCGGGAAGAAAATGATCAGGAGCGACAACACGACCAGCAGCACCAAAAGGCCGGCGTATTGCTTCAGCAGTTCCGGGACAGTGTCGTATCTCAACGTTGGCATCTTGTTCGGGTCGGTTTTGTCAATGTTTATGATCACTAGAAACGATACAATGGGGTAGTTAAATTTTTTCTGACCTATACTTTTTATGGTTTTATTCAAGGCGTTTTGTAATTTTAAACATTTCTGTGAAATCGGAATTTCAATTGAATTTACAAAAAAAAATCTCCTAATTACGTCACTAGGCTATTGACAACGTTGCCAGCTTTTTCTATGGTTGCCAGTGTGTTTAGTTTAAGAATCTTGCGATAGATGGCGCCACGTTATAATATTTTAGTTTTAAAACCACTTGATCTATAATTTTAGTTGAGAAGAAGAAGAAGAATTGATTTTTTGACGTATCTTTTTTTCGGGTTATGTTTTTTTTTAAATTTAGATTATTGAAAATCAATGTTATTGTTATGTTATTTGTAATTGATATTAGATAAGTGATTTATTAATAACGGACTCCAAAGCAGAGGAATCTTGTGGAATGGTTGGTTACATAATGTAACTTACATTGAACATTGGAGCTTTTAAACAAATAAAGTAAGTACCTATAATTATAATCATATTTTGTCGTAAATGCATTTCATTAGTATAATGCCTAGTTCTTTATATTCTTTTAGATATATCTTGGACTCTAAAATACCTCGTAATAAGGAAGATAGCGCCATCTACAACAGGGGAAACTGTCAAATGTCACATTTTTACATTTTATAAACACAATTATAAAGGTTATAAATCGAAATGTATCTTGAAAATTGACAGTTTTTCAGTGAAAGTAAAGAAAATGTTTTATGAGGACTTTACAGTAGAGTCCGTGCCCGAATTTAAGTTATAGTTTACTGCCGGCGAAATTAAAAGGTCAGTACAATGTTCATATAAACTTTTCAAATATTGGCGTTGAGAAACTATTTAATACTTTTGTATTGAGATAATAAAATAATTTTACATTTAGTATTATTTTACAAGAAAGGCACTTTATTTTAACGATTGTATGACATTTGACAACTGTCAACTAACATAAAACTAACTTTAGCCCGTGACTAAAAACCTGTTGCTAACTACAGCCCGTGACTAAAGCGCCATAAAGCCACAACTTGTCAATGTGTATTTAATAGGTCACTTAGTGTCATGGAAACATGTACGATAAAGGGCGTTTTAAAGGTGGGAGTAGAAAACCATATTTGAGAATGTAGAAATTCATGTTTAGAATATTAAAAACGCATTTTTGAATGTCAAAAACATATTTTAGAATGTCAAAACGCATTTTAGAATGCCATTAGGACATTTTCGATTATTTAAGAATGTAAAAAACATTTTACTAAAAACAGAAAAACCCCCTATATAAAGTCGATTTTTTTTCTTATTTAAATCTAATAATAAGAACTCTTATTTTTAGCCAATGTCAAGAAACTCATTATCTTTTTCATACAGGAAAGACAGACTTGTCACGGTCATTTTACCGTTAAATTACACAATTTTAAAAGATCTTGAAAATTATGAAATAATATAATATTCGTAAAAATCTTCTAACAAACTACATGAAAAGGCACTCTCAAAACCGGCTCAAAAACGAGCAATAGGGTCAAAGACAAGTGCTCTCAAAGTCGACCTAATTTCGGTCGTGTCTTTACGACCCCCCCCTAACCCCTTCAGCCCCCCGTGCCACCCTTTTAATAAGAACGACGGGAATCCTAGAAAATGCATCTAAAAAGGCATCTGTTGCAGCATATACTGCACTGGGTCCGTGCGATCAATAGAGCCATTTCTGCGGATTTATTAGAGAGAATTTGACCTTGGTTCGACCGAACGAAAAAATTGTTGTTGAAAGGGTTTTAAATACAGCTGGCAGCAACACCGAATATTTTGGGTAAGTATTTATTGGGTAAATATTATTTTTAAGTTAACATTATAAGTTTTAAAAGTTTTGAGATTCTACTTTCCTTGGATAAAGTGAGTTTCGTTAAACTTTTATAATTCCTAAGGCTACTACTACTTTTTAACTTAAAAAAACTGAAAAATAAGTAGTTTGCCATTGAAAAAAATTGAAATTTTTTCAAATTTGTTTTTACGTCAAAAACTAGTATTTGGGTGAATCTCACGAAATGTCCCCCGATGGTGTTACCCCGTGATATTTAATAAAACTAAATGAGTTTTACCTACACTTTTATTGTGTTTTGATCTTTCATAATTATCATAATTGCAGCTCAAGTTCCAGATTTTTAACCGCAATTAATTATTTTTTACAATGTTTTAAAAGTCTAAAACCTATCCTCTGTGACTGTAGTAAAAGCATACTAAAAATATCGGTTCACTAAGTAAATTAAACACATCCAAAGCAATCGAATCAAATATAAAATATTATTAAAAATTAAATGAAATAATTTTTATAACCATTTATGTAGGTGTTACAAAAATTGATTCTATCCTCAGTGAATCTGTTTTTGCTTTAAATTTTATGCAACGGATGGCGCTTTAATCATTTAAAAAAAAGCAAAAACCTCTGTTTACGACATTATAGATGCATATGATTCCTAAAGGTCAGTTAGAATTTATATGCAAAAATTCTTGCATTAGTGCAGAACCACTTATGTTATGTTATTACTATACCTGGTGGCTGCCCAAAAACCCCATTCTAGACTAACAATGAAACAACCAAAAATAAAAAATAATCATTTTCTAATGTCTAATACAAAGCAACATTGCAAAAATCATCTCAATGTTATATTTTAAATGAAACATTGCACATAACTTTAATATTAAAATTGTAATGTTTTAAATTTTTTGTCAATTAAATGTTTATATTTTATAAAACAAAGCAACATTGCAAAAATAAAAATAAATATCTCAGATAAAACATTGCAGTGAAATGTTTAAAAATCCTGGTGAACATTGCAAAATAAATTTCGTATGTTTAGGACAACATTGCAAACATTTTTCATTTGAAACTTAATCCAATATTTAAGATAAAAGTTTGAGAATTTTTGGTTAAAGTGTCAAATTTAATATTTGATAGAAATTATTATTTAATGCAAGTAGTTAAAAACATTTTATCAGTTAACTTTTGTTTTTTATTTTAGAGGGTACATTAAAAGGTTTTACGAAAAACATTTTAATTTAAAAAAAATCAGACAAAACATTTTGTTTGTTGTATCAAATAAAATATAAAACATTGCAGAGAAGACATAGATTCAATATTAAAATTGTAATGTTTAAAAAGTTTTTGACGATTAAATTATAAATTATAAACAATTAAGATTACAAAACTAACTTTAGTGGAAACATAAACATTGCAGAAATCTTATACTTGTTTTATTATAAGTGCATGCAATGTTTGAAAATCTTGATAAAAATTGCAAAATAATGTATGTTTTGAACATTGCAAAACATTTTTGTTTGAAAGTTTATCCAATATTTAAGACGATTTAAGATAAAATGTTGAGAATTTTTTGTTAAAGTAGTGAAAAAATTTTTATCACTTAACACTGCTAAAATTGCAGCAATGTTTTGTATTTCTTTTAAAGGGCAAGTTAAAAAGTTTTATTCAAAACCTTTTAGTTTGAAAAAAATCAGACAAAACATTTTGTTTGTTGTATCAAATAAAATATAAAACATTGCAATGTTTGAAAATCTTAATATGTTTTTAATAACATTGCATCAATGTTTTCTTTTCCTCCTAGAGTAAAAAAATATTGAGGCAAAAAATATTGTTTGTTATATTAAATGTAAAAAATTGTCTACATTGGTTTTGGTATAAAAGTTCTCAAGAATATGGGGTCAAAAATATTTTGCAATGGAAAATACGCCAGAATACATATTTCCCAATCAAATTTTTAAATATAACATGAAATCCCAAAATTAATATCCATATGTTAAATTTCAAAATAACTTTCAGAACAACGTAAACAAACATCGAATTTATTTATTATGTAACCATATTGCATGGGAAATAAAAACAACAAAAACAGTAAAAATACAAAAAACCCTTGCTCAAAAAACCGTGAACAAGTTTTGTTGATTGAATCTAAATTAAAAAAAAATCAATGGATGGAAAATATTTGGGCTGACCTAATTAGTGTTTTATTTAAAGAATTAAAATGCACTGTGAGTAGAAGTTGAGTTTTAGGCGGATAAAAATACTTACAAGCAGGGTCGATATCTCTAACCAAAACACCGAGAACCAAATTGGTGATATTGTACAATTCGGCCATTCCAACAGGATCGAACTCGACCCTGGTGTAGTTTACGTACGGTATGCCATGGTTCAAATCGGTGTACGTAACCCCCTGATCGCCGAAAATGTCGATCAAAGCTTTGTCCAGGTTTTCCGTTATTTTGTGAATGCTATTGGCGAAATTTCCATCCGCATCACCTATGGCAACGGTGGTAACCAAGATGGCGACCGTCAAAATGACGCTGTATATTTTGGTGGACTTCTGCAAAGCCCTCGCTTGGACTTTGTGGGATTTTTTTGGACCCATGTTGTGTGCTTTTTGAGTGGCAGTCTATTTGAATCTATCCATCACATACTGTAACAAAATTATTATTAATAGCTTAATCAAAAGACAATTATATTAATTATATTCATTATTTCATAACATAAATTTCTAAACCTACATACTATTAACATACAGCGTCGCAAAAAAGACCCCTTTTACTTAGCATACGCGTATTTCCTGTATTAAACGTGACAACACTGTAGATACATTAAATATGCAATAATTATTATTTAAATGGAAGAATTATACCTACATTTAAAATATGCAAAATTTGGAAATCATTAGTTAAAAAGTAATAAGGACATCAAGTCTTATTTTCAAGAAAACAACGGTTAACTAATAACAGCTCAAGTCCAAAGACTGCATTTTTCTTGATTAAATGACTCATTATGTTACACAAAGAATTAATGTAGTCATTAAGGCCTGAATTAATAATGTCAAAGATCCGAGACAAGTGTGTTTTTGTTTGTTTTACGTCGGTTTACTTTAAAATGTTACAAATTAAAAAGGAAAAAATACACGCTCATGTTAGGTGCAAAATAACGGTAAAGTTACCGTTATAGGAGTAGATGAGTCATGAGCGTAGTATAAAGTTTAATTTGGCCGGGTTTTTAATTAAAATTAAAAATGAAAGTAATTTAATTTATATTTTAATTAAAATTTTATAATATTATTCAACATTCAAATGCTGCTGCATATCCATAGATTGCTATTCCTGGTAAAATGTCAAATTCCAGTGTCCTCCCCCCGGCGCGTTAACCCTTTCCCCCTCATTTTGTCCTACCAATAGAAAACGAGATAAAACGCCTTTTAATTTCTTTTTTAATTGTTTTAGCCAATAAATAATTTCTTCTTTTAATTTTATGTACAAATGTTGTGAAGCATTTTCATGCTTTATGTAGCGTCCTTGATGGATCGTTGATTTTAATAACATTGCTATTTATACAGAATTATTATTAAATATTTATAGTTATATTTATATGGAGTATTAACAGTTTTTATAAAATGTATTAAGTATTTAAATTTGTTGTTCTTTATAAAATGATTTACGTTGAAGCTTGATTTTCAATGTTATCTTTTTATTTAGACCGCAGGCCGAGTAATAAATACAAGTTGATACCACGAAAGCATTAGTCATGTTTCTCAAGAAGAACAAAGATAAAAATTTGTCTTAGAAATATAACATGTTTTTTTATAATTAGGGGTTTGTATTTTCTTAATTATGATCTAACAAAAAAGTTGCTGATATTTGTTACGTCATAACTAGGTGCATGTTTATCTAATTATCTAGATAACTGCATCTGATTCATTGAAATTATATGTCAAAAAAAAATTATCAACCCCATTGTTATTCAGGCTATATAGGTAGCTAATACTAGCTATGTCATCGATTTAGCAAATAAACAATACTATAAGATATTTTTAGAATGGTTCCGCATTATTTTTAAAATTTAATTTTGTGGACCACATTCTACCTGCGTTTATAATATGATTCATCAAGATTAACTTAAACTTAAAACTTGTTTTAGTTTAAAGAATTTATATGATTAAAAATTCTATAAATGCATTTATTGGAATTGTTAAATCGGTTTATTGCAATAGGATGAAGTCATTTTATGTTTTTATAAATTGGTTTTATGCTTAGATTTGATAAGAAATATGTAAAAACCCACGTTTTAATAATAATTTTGAAAACTTTGTTTTTATATAATTACATGTGCAAAGTTTTAAAATTAGCAGATTTCCCGATTGAAATCTTAAATTTTTAACAGATAACTAGACTAGAAAATAACTACACTGAGAAAAAAGTTTATTGCTCCCAAATAAAAAAATATTTAAATATGGGACAAGGGTACAGTTTATTTATCCTAAATATATTTTTATTCCCGACACATAAAGTTTTACTAAAGTATATTTATCGTTATTATTTCGACTATTTGGAGGTAATAAACAATATATTCACTATTAATAAAAGTATTAGCTACACAGTTTATTTGTCCCATTTTTTTCTCAGTGTACCTACCTATTTAAATGCTGTTTGTCAAATCAGCATGAGGTATCTGTCAACCTTAATTCTGCCAAAAAAGACAGATCTTAATTAAACGATATTTTGTTATTCATGGTAACATTTGTTTACATTTAGAATTGACCAAAATGCGTTAAGCTTACACTTTTTGTTCCAAATGATTTATTACATATTTTAACATTTTGGTAAATTCTGAAATCAATAAAATGTGACCATGAATAAGTTATTATTATTTATATGTACACATTTTGATGTACTATAATAGTACATTTATACACATTGTCCTTTTAAGTGATATAAATTGGTTTTGATTGCGTACAATTGACATTTGCCATTTTTAAGAAATATAAAGAATTTAAACATCTCTAAAATAATAAACGCGTTTCCTCTTATGTTTATCAACAATTATCAAAATCCGGTCCAATTTTTATTTAACGAATATTTCATTAAATAAAATCGTTGGCCTTTATAAAGGGCGTCATCAATTTAACATTCTTATCTAATTCTTGACTTAAATTTAGTTTTAAATGTTAAAACATACTTTTAATACTTTAGTGTTTATATTCGTTATCTGAACAAGTAGCATCTTGTTTATCTTATTTCATTGAGAAACCATTAAAATAATATAAACAAATAACGTAATTCAATATTTTGTTATAGGTAATATTGTTTAGATTCGTAACAATCGATATTTTGTGTGTCATTCAACTTTATACATTTAAATTTACTACAATTCCGTATATGTACTTAAAGGGTTAATATACAAACATTAATATATTAATTGACCCCTTTTTAGCGTGCAGATGTATATCCTGCTTTAAATGACTAATAATTATACATAAACCTTGACTTGCAGTCTTTGTTCCGCACAATATTCTTAAATCTAGGTCTTGTATTCTTGAGAAATACGTCAAAATAAAAAAGAAGTGTCTCACCTTTCTCCAAAAACCAAAAGAATTAACTCCAAAAATCCCAACTATAAACACAAACCACTGTTAAATACGAAAACACTAGGCTTTACGGTTAAAATAACGCTAAAATATCGTATCTGGAACGGTCAGTTTTTTTATTTATCGATAGAAATCTACTGAACCGCCCGTCCCCGCTGGCAGACTCCCATCAACTAAAAAAAATGCAGACAATTCAGGCCGTGATGCCAAGTTTTTAAATATAACACAAGAAATATGCGTAAATCTTATTTATTTTTATTAACTGTGCAATAAAAATTTATAATCAGCATTAATTTAATTGGTTTTTGATTATTTTAAGGTCATTATTGTAATAAATCCAGAAGTGTATTTAGAATTTTGGAAAATTTATACCATCTGACAGCAGCGTGTTCACTCTGCGCATGCGTTGTTAAATTGGGGCTTTTTTACCATAAAATGAATGAAAATCTTTGAAAAACACTACAATTGCGGTTTAAATTTAAATATTTTACCTTGCTTTATTTAGGGAACGTTTATTTTCACGGATTTTTAAGTTTTTACGTAATTTTAATGAAATGTCATTTGCATTCTTTGTTATGCACTTACGGTGTTGCCAAGTTTAAATTCTGCAATTTAAACGATATATTTTGCTTAATTTAACAACACTACTAACTATAATCATATAATATGGTAAATTACAGCATAAAAATCGTTATTCTTTCAATAAGTTTTGGTATAAACCTTTTATTTGGGCGTTATTCTCGGTGAAAGTTGGTGTTGGTGAAAGTGTTGGCGGTTGGTAGCAGTGCGCGGCAGCCATATTGCCGTTGAATTACATATCGCAGAAATTCGTTTTAGAGAGTATTTCAGGGGCCAACTGTTGATATAATGCCGGTCAGGGTGGATATTGCGCCCCCTCCGCCGGCCAATTCGAAGCAGCCGGGAATAACGAAGTCCCTTTTGTACAACGGCTCGAAATTCCAGGGCTTCCAGAAGTCCAAAGGCAATTCGTACGAGGTCGAAGTTATTTTGCAGGTTAGGATCGCTTTTTCTTTATGCAGGGGGCCTTGCTTTCACTTCTGTGGCAGTATTTTGTTTTTATTCGGGTTTGACAGTCATGGTTTTGGTTATTTTCACGTCAAATTGACGTTTGTTGGTCAAACTGCGAGAAATGTCATATTTGAACTTTCTTTTGTTTATTTTTGACGTTTTTAGCATGTCGATGAAGAGAATTCGTATTTGTGTGGATATTTGCAAATAAATGGTTTAACCGACGAGTATCCCAAGTTAACGACGTTTTTTGATGCCGAAATAATTAGTGGGAAATATCCTTTTTTAACTAGGAAGTGGGATGCCGATGAAGATGTTGATAAGAAACATTGGGTAAGTTTAATTTTTTTATGGGATTTAATATTTATAGTAGGTATAGATTTTTCGAGAGAATTCAACTATTTTTGACACTTTTAAATTCTTATAGCATATGATACAACTGGTTTTATAATGTTATATTTTTTCAAAATTTAAAGTCAATTTTATTAGAAATTTTATCTGACAACTGTAAAGTAGTTTTAGGATATTTAATTAACATGTGTTTTTTACTAAATTTAACCCTTTTTAGAGTAAATTTCCGCTGTTTGCACAATACGCAAAAACTTTTAACTCTGATACTTTTGATTATAAGGAATTAGAAGATACAGATTACGTTTTTATGCGATGGAAAGAACATTTTTTAGTACCAGATCACACGATCAAAGATATAAGTGGGGCCTCATTTGCAGGCTTTTACTACATATGTTTTCAAAAGTCCAAAGCCACAATTGAAGGTTTCTATTACCACAGAAGCTCTGAATGGTAAGTGAAAAAAATATAATATTTTTTGTAATAAAATAGGTTTTTTTAATAGGTTTCAAAGCTTAAACCTTACCCATGTGCCTGAAAATAGCATACAGATCTACGAGTTTAGGTGAATAGGTACAAATATAAATATCAAGTATTATTTTTAAGTTCGAAACGTCGTATATAGTAGCTTTTTATCCAAACACCCTGCACAAATGCTCGTTTAATTTATACAGGGTGTTTGTCAGTGGTTTTAAATTCATTTTTATCCATGACTCTTAGAAATTGGTGTTAAAGCAGTGTTAAAAAACAGTATTTGTAGTACGCAAGTGACTTCCAAAGGTATTTTTTCCAAATTTTTTAAGCAATAAAATACAGGGTGGTATTTTTCTATACCCAACTGAGTATTCTACCTAAAAAATTGATTGACACAAATCACTCTGTATTATGTCACTTGCGAGTTTTATGTGTAATACCATGTAAGTAATTTTTTGCGAAAATTTTTGTACATAAGTCATTTTTTGTTGATTTTTTTACCGTAGCGTCGCCCCTTAAGAACTGATCTGGGTATTTTAGGTTTTACTTATATTTTTTTTTTGTTTTTTAATTTATGAAAAACCCGAGTATTTGTTATGTATATTTTGTACAAATGTATTGAGTAAATATATTTTTTTGAACTGTTTTAAAAAAAACATCGTTTTATTTCGTCATAAAATCGTTTATTAATATAGTTGTGGTCCACTTTTTACACCAAAAGCGTACAGTAAAATGGATGGGCCGTTTTCTACAATGGCCCCTATTTCTAAAATATCACAGGCTGGCATGGACAGTGAATAGGCGCTGAAAAAAAAAATAAAAAATAATAATTTGATTTTTTTGAATTTTTACATTAGAGCTACTGTTTTAAATTAAAAAAAATATGAAATTTTTACCTCTAAAAACAATGATATTAATCATCCAAGCAAAAAAAATAGGTATGTGCACTGTTTATTATGTTATAAAGTAAACTTGTTCAAAATTGGTTAGTAGGTACTTTCTTATTTCTAGAGTTAATGTTACACTATTAAAAATGTTTGTAAAATTACTACATTTTTACTGAGCACTTCCATAGTAAAATTACAAAATGTTGTATTGTATTGCAATTTTAATACGAATTTGTTGTAATATTACATTTTGTTATAGCCAAAGTACTAAACAGGTTCCAACTTTACAATGTTTTTGTTTTTGTCAGATATTTATAGTAATTTTACAATAATGGGTCAAGAAAGTTTCTTAAAGAAACTAATAAAATTGCAGGTTTTTTTCGTAGTAGAATTACAATGCCATCATTCGTAAATTGCTAAATATTTTTAGTGTAATTTGTCGTACAAAATAACAATATTTGTATTGTAATATTGCGAAACGAATTTTCTTCAGTTCAGTAAAATTGTAAAATATATTTTGTAATTTTCATGAACTGAGTTAAAATGAATTGTTTGGTATAATTACAAGACACCATTTTAAAATTACTAAACATTTTTAAATGGTAATGTAGTTTGAATACATTAATCATTAAAAAAAATTCTAATGAGAAATATTTTCAAAACTGTTTTTTTAATTTAAAAAATGAGTAATGTAAAGTAAGTACATTACTCATTAACAAAAAAAATTGTAATTGAAAATTTAAAAATACTCATTTCAAATTAAAAATGAGTAATGTAAAAAAGAATACATACATTACTCATTGGAAAAATGTAATGAGTAATTAACTTAATTTTCATAAAAAAATAATGAAAATTAAACACATTACTTATTATTTTAATAATGTGTATTGAAACCTTTATGCATTAATAAAATAATGCATTATTTGGAACTCTGGTACTATCATCCCCTTAAGGATGACACCCTGTATATAGATCACCTCAAATGGCAGTTATGCCTCCTCAGCAAACCGGCATGTCTGCCAGCGATTTTAAACTTGGTGGCCTCGTCCACAATCGGGTTGATCTCGACTAAAGTCGAGTTCTTCGCGCAATTCTTTTGCGGCACTCCCAGAAGCTTGACCTTCCTGAAGCTGCCGTTAGATGTCGTCAGCAGCAGCAGGCTCATGCGCGCGGCTTCGAAACCTTCTGCGGGCTTCGCTACGAAGTACACGTACGAGTTGTCTCTGATCTTCAGGTCGCAGGTGAACAACCGGTGGACGTACGCGTTGTTTTTCGACAGGTTTTTCGTCGAGATTCGGTAGGCTTTCGCGTCGTTGGACACTGTGGTCGTTACGCAGTCGCACGCGTTTTTCAGCGGCAAAATTTCCGCGCTTTTGTCGATCATCGCGAGGAATTCGGGGTAAGAGTTGTACGAGAGTTGGTGCTGTTGTTTAAAAATGTTAAAGTGGTTCTGCAATGAAAAAATATAGTTTATAATATGACATTATATAGTTATTATTATTGAAGATTATTTATTTATTATTATTATTTTTTATATAACTAAGTATTTAAAAATAGTATCAAGCCATTTAAAATAAAAACACATATAAAACATTTTCTACCAAAATAGTTAAAAAAGGTAAATTTTTGTAAACTCAAAATTATTGATAATCAAAAATATTTTAAATATAAAATGCAACTGTACAGTTTAAGTTTAAAAATATCAATTTTTAAAAAATGGAATTTTAATATTTTATTCTTCAAAATTATTGGTTTGAATTTGTAAAGAATCATTTAAATGATAGTCGAAAAATTTTCAATACAAAAATTTGAACATTGCATTTAAATGTTATTTTAAATTTTAAAGTGGTAATTTTTGCATTAAAAATGTATCGACTATCATTTAAATAACTCTTTACAAATTTAAACCAATAACTTTTATTTTTAACAATTTTAAATTGATAAATTTTTGAGACAAAATTTATAACTTTACATTTAAATGTAAGTCGATAATTTTTAAATTACAAAGTGTAAACGTAGCTTTAGTAGAAGGCACAAGAGTCTGGATCGGAGCCACGATGCAGCCAATTTGATCCACAGTGTTGCCAAATCGTGCTTGCTCCATAAATATTTGACGCGTTTTACAAATTATCGTAATGAAATGTTTCTTTATTACATAAATTTAATAATAGAACAGCAACATTTTTAGTGCCTATTTTACTAAGTTAATTTGACAATTAAAAAACATCAACGGATCAAACTGGCTGCATCGTGGCTCCGATCCCAGACTCTTGTGCCTTCTACTAAAGCTGCGTTTACACTTTGTAATTTAAAAATTATCGACTTACATTTAAATGTAAAGTTATACATTTTGTCTTAAAAATATATCACTTTAAAATTGTTAAAAATAAAAAAAATTGGTTTAAATTTGTAAAGAGTCATTTAAATGATGGTCGATAAATTTTTAATCCAAAAATTACTACTTAAAACTTAAAACTTAAATTTAATGTAATGTGAGAATTTTTGTATTAAAAATTTATCAACATCATTTAAATGACTCTTTAAAAATTTAAACCAATAATTTTGTAGAATAAAATATTACAAACAAAACTTTTAAAAATCAATATTTTTAAACATAAATTTTTACTGTTGCATTTTATATTTAAAATATTTTTTGACTATCAATTGTTTTGAGTTTAAAAAAATTTAACTTTATAAATTTCTGTTAAAACATAATTTAAGTGCTAAACTTTAATCTTTAAACTTTTATCTAATAAATCATGGAGCCTACACAAGGAGCCCGAACTTAATAGGGAAAATTGACAAAACCTGTCCACTAAATTGCACAATTTAAGTCTTTTTTTTTCACCACCAGCGGCGCTGCTTGTTAATGCGTCCGAATGACGTGAAAATAGTATCGAAAATACATGTGAAGTAAGCAAGTAAGTTTTGACAATTGATTTGCAATAATGTTTTGACGTACGAATCGTTTTGTTATTTATGGCTGTACCTGGTAGGTAGATGCTAATGAAAAGGTTTTGGTTGTGAAATATAAGTGATTCTTTATATTCTGTGAAGTGAACCAGGTACATGGGTACATTGTTTTCAGAAAGTGATAAACTGACAGTTGCATAACCTCAATTATTTGCACAATAATAAGTGGTAGGTAGTGGCGCCATCTCTGGTTATACCCCTCTACTGTTTTGGACCGGTAGTACACCAGCGCCCTCTTATCTTAGGAAGATTCTTGTTTACATGAAGTTCGGGCTCCTTGTGTAGGCTCCATGTAATAAATGCTAAAACGGCGTGCCATATAACTGTCAAATGTAGACTTTTTCACAAATAATACTTGATAGTTAAATATTGACATTTGTGACCTTAAAATTATTAAGTAATAGTAAATTAAAGGACTAATGTCATAAGACATGAGTTCTTTACGGTATTTTATACATTTTGCAAAAATTCTATAAAAAAAAATAATTTTATACCTCAAATTTTACTTTAGATAGTTGGTATCACAGTCATTGGTTTGACAGTTAATGTCAAAATCGCCATGCCGTCCTTAATTTACTTATTTACAATAAGCGGCTGTTAATGTTAAAGAAGAAAAAAGGATTTTCTTTGGTGTTAAACAAAATTTATTGCCAGAAAAGTCTCGTAAGTACTAGAAAAATCATAAAAATATTATAACCAAAATGGAAACTATTGCGCTGTTTAAAGTATAGCCAACCTATAAAATCAAAATTTTGATTGGGATAAAGTATCTCATTACAGCACTGCGTAATCGCCCGTAATATAAAAATGTATGAAACTTTGTTGGTAAAATACCTAAAACTGTTAAATTTTGACATTTCCGTATATGTATTTTGGCATTTTAATGAATGACCTGTAAATTTTAAAATTTGACATTTATATCTTTAAAACTGTAAAATGTTGACCTTCAAGCTATAAATTTTGATTTATTTAACTTTAAAATTAACATTTTTTCGTTTTTAATGAAAATCTTATAAAATTTCAAATTTTTAAAAATACAAAGTTTACATTTGTGATTAATAAAAAAGTTATGATGATTTATTTTTTCAATACCTAACCTAAATTGTCAAATGTAGACATTTTTACAAAAATGACCTTGAAACTGTTAAATTTTGACATTTGTGACCTTAAAACATTTAATATTGACACATTTAACCTTAAAATTATTTTATTTTTTAGTTCTATATAAAAATATATCAACCTTTGGTATTAAAATACCTGCAACTGTCAAATTTTTACTTTTGTGACCTTAAAGTATAACTTCAATACCTTTTATGTTCAAGGTATACCTAAGAAGTTTCAAAAATAAAAAGTTAAAACCTGTTTGTGATAACAAAGTTATGATTTATTTTTTATACAACCAAAATTGTCAAAAGTAGACATTTTTACAAAAATGACCTTGAAACTGTTAAATCTTGACATTTGTGACCTTAAAATATTTAACCTAAAAATTAGTATTTTAAAGTTCCATATAAAAATATATTAACCTTTAGTATTAAAATAGCTGAAACTGTAAAATTTTGACATTTGTGACCTTTGTGTATGTGGCGCTCGTAATATAAAAATGTGTCAAACTTTGGTAGTAAAATACCTAAAACTGTCAAATTTTGACATTTGTGACCATAACGTATAATATACATGCATCCATATTTATATTTTATCATTTTGACATTATTTAATAAATGACCTTGTAATTTCTTTTACTTTGACATTTATATTTTTACAGTCAAATTTTGACTTCCAAGGCATAAATTTTGATTTAACATTCAAATTAATATTCTTTCGTTTCAAATGAAAATTGTTAAATACCTATGTAGACATTTTTACAAAAATGACCTTTAAATTGTTCAATTTTGACATTTAACCTTAAAATTATTATTTTTAAGTTGTATATAAAAATATATTAACCTTTGGTATTAAAATACCTGAAACTGTCAAATTTTGACATTTGTGACCTTTACGTAATATACATACATATGTATAAAATGTATATCTTTAAAACTATCAAATTAACATTAATATTTTGCTGTTCCATATGAAATTTTCTAAAAATTGTTATAATTTTGCATTATTTACATTTTTTATATACCTTTTTTACATAAATGACCTTAAAACCGCCAAACTCTGACATTGGTGACCTTGAAAACGTAACTTTTGACGCACTTAACCTTGAAACTAACCTTATCGAGCCCTATATGGAAATCGGTCTCGAAAACCGTATTCGTAGGATGAGTGTACAAATACGGGGCCAAACTTTTCCAAAACGCGGTATCCCTGTTAACGAAAGTCTCGAAAAAAGGCCCATCCTCCGGCTTCAAGGTCTCGTGCGTCCAACCGGGCGCGAAAATGGCCATCGACAAGTTGTACTGCCTAATTTTCTCGGCGGCCTTGAAACAATTGAAGTTACCGCCCCCGAAAGTGTTGCGCCCGAATACGTCGATTCCCACGTAGATGTCGAAGTTTCTTTGGCCAGCTAGCGACAGGGATTTTATTATCTTTTCTTCGGTCCACACGTAGTTCAGGAAAATTCCGTCGCACGACTCGAAAAAGTCGCTAAAAAATTTGCTTCAGTTTAATGGTGTTTATTTCGAAAAGTATTGGGTGTAGACAAATTTTGTAAAATAGTTAGTTTTGGGAGATTTTATTGCCTATAATACGGCGAAAACCGTTTTTAATTATCTTTAGTCTCTAGCCAGTTAAAATAAATAATGTAGGGTGGTTACAAAAAATAGCTCCATATAAAAGAGCAACTTATACCCCTTATAACATACAAACTTAAAGTCCTAGAAAAAAGTTATACAAATCAAAATGACTCTAAATTTAGTTCTCTACATTATAATGAAAACCATTTTTTTAAATGTTTACTCGCTATTGAGTAATAGGACAAATTATACACCATTGTCTGTATCTACAACTTACATATTATTAGAGTTCAATTCATTCTGCCAAGCCAATTTCCCATCATTTATAACACTATCATACCATATAACTAAGCTTTCCGGGTTATCAGCATGCATATAACCTGTGAGGGTGTTAACAAATGTTTTTAGAAGATCTATTTCCTCCACTGGATTTTCAATGTTTAATAACCAACCATCAAATCTAAATATTCGTGTTATTGCAGCTAGAGATTTGGCGAAAGCAACTACACTTGGTAAGTCTTTAAAAATGGACTTGCATAAGGCTTTTCCGGGGTTGAATTCGGTTATTAAAGTTCCTTAAATAAAAGATTTTCACTTGACAAACACACAATTTTTATATGTTACCTAATACTTTAACACCATGTTTATGAGCCGCATTTATCCAACATACAGGTGGTATGGTTATAAAGTGGTGGCTAAAGTATACAAAAATGTCGATTTGTGTCCAGTTATAAAAAGTATAGCTATTACCTATAATTTCTGAGTTTTCATCATGTAAATACCTAAAAATGTTAACATAAGAATTGGTGTAACTAAAAAACTATAAATTATAGAAAAAAGTTAAAAACTCGAAAAATCTTCGAAATTTCATAGGCTTTAACATAATTTAAACGGCGTTTAAAAATTATAACTCACTTGAGAGTTATACTAAATAATACTCACTAATGTCATGAATGATGACAAAAAGCTTTAAATGCTTGTAACTTAAAAACTAGAAGTCCCAGAAGAAAGCAACAAAGAACAAAATTACTTGAAATTTGATGCGCTACAACATGAATTGTATTTAATAGATAATACCTCACCTATCTTCCCTATAACCACCCTTATAATCATGGCAAATGAGTGTTTTTGGTACCATTCGTTTATCAAGCCTTTTTCTAACTTTAAAATGTTCCTGTGGTATATGACAATCACTTAAAGTATTCTCAACAACACTGCAGCTTCGTTTAACGCGTGGTTTAATTCTGTGCACCCAACTCGGGGGGTTATTCAATATTTCTTCAATAACATTTAAATCAACGATTGGAAAGCAATGCTCATTGGAATTCATAGCCAAAGTAGGCTCCATCTTCAATAGTCGAATAATAAGTTTAAACTAAGCGTAATTATTGTAAATTAGGACAGGAAAGGGATGTAATGCAATAAATAAGTAGGTTATGCGGTTTTTGATAGTGGAAATAAAAATTGTTTTCCTATGTAATGCACTGATAAGACACTTGAATTGATATACCATGCACTGTAAGTTAAGTATTACAAAAACATTACATTAAACCACAAAGTATTAAGATTTTCCTAAAAGTAGGGTTATCTGTAAATGTCATGTTAATAATGTGAAATTTGGCAATAAATAGATATAAAAGATATGCAAAGATATGATTATAAACAACTATTTACATATAATTTAGATAAAAAGGTTAAAAATCGTAAATAAATTCAAAAAATTTAATCTTGACATGCACGCCATCTTTTTAATAGTGGCGGAACTAAAAACATTTTTAATAAAACAACTGTCGCAATCCAGTTTGGCTATTAAAATATAGATGGCGCTTTGAATATGTCATTTTTTAAATTTTGAGGTTATAACAAGCTAACCCTTAAAAACGTATATTTTCGTTGATTTACGTATAAAATGGCTTCCAGCGGTGACAAAAACAAGGTAAATCAACAATTTAAGAATCCTTTATCAGTTTTAATCGATTTTATTGTAGAACAGTCAAAATGGAGACCAAAAAGAGAAAAAACGTAAAGAATCGATTTTAGATCTTTCCAAATACCTCGAAAAGACGATTAGGGTTAAATTTGCCGGTGGTAGAGAGGCGAGTGGTGTTCTTAAAGGTTACGACCCCCTTTTGAACCTTGTTTTGGATAACACAATCGAGTATTTGAGAGATGCTGATGATCCATATAAATTAACCGAAGACACCAGAGAATTAGGGTTGGTGGTGTGCAGAGGTACAAGTGTTGTTCTTATTTGCCCTATGGACGGCATGGAGTCCATACAGAACCCTTTTGTGACACAGGATTAAGTTTATAGGTTAGGTTTACGTTTTATACTTAAATTGAATAAAAATTAGTTTGTAAGGGTGTTTGTTGTTTAATTGGGTTGAAATAAAATATGTTGGGTACAGAAAAGGTACTTTATTGATATAGATTGTATTAAAATACATTTTTAATGTACTTAATGAAATCGGGGATTAAATAAAAAAAGTGAGAATTATATAAAAAAAGTAAAGAATTTGCGTGGTAGGTATTAGATTAGTCAAAGATTATATACAATTAAAATCTAGCATTAAATAAAATATATACATGTTTAATACACAAATCATGGAAAATAAAGCGAAAATAACAAAATTGTAAAAAACGGCAATAATATATGATATATACAAAAATGCACAAAAATAAGCTTGGGACGGTATGTAAAACAATTTGTAATCAAAAAATAGTCAAAATCACTTAAAAGTCCTAAATTGTGGACGGTTTTTACCATTAAGTAATTTTGACTGTAAAAAATGTGTTTTTTATAATATTGTACACAATGTTTATGTTGTTTTTTTTAAATGCTGGACCCTGGTGATTTGTAGATAATTTATTTTGCACTATGTAACATGAAGAACATAAAAATAGTCCATTTTAGCAGTGTTATGAATTGGGCAATACAAGTTAATCCTGAAAAAACAAACAATTCAAACCCTTGTATCATATTAAGTATTAAAATTAGAAAATTATTTAAAAGAGAAAAATTCTAAAGAATTCCATTGGCTTTAATGTATTTTTTACTATTTTAGTCTACCATAAGTACTAGAGGAGTTATTGTTCAAAATACCATAATTAATTTTAATTTAAAGTCTGTTATCTTCAAAACAAAATTCTTGAAAATGTTTTAGACAATAAAATTGTTTGGAATGATGAATGATGAATACCGTAATTAATTTTAAATTTAAAGTCTGTTATCTTCAAAACAAAATTCTTGGAAATGTCTTAGACAATAAAATTGTTTGGAATGATGAATACCATAATTAATTTTAAATTTAAAGTCTGTTATCTTCAAAACAAAATTCTTGTAAATGTTTTGGACAATAAAATTGTTTGGAATTATATTGCTCACAAGATAAACAAAACCGTTTTTTGATAACATTGTTTTTATATGAGCAATGGTTAAGAAACTCACTGAAAAAATAGTCGAACTTAAATCGTGAATATCTCGAAAACTATGAATCCTACAAAAAAGTTACAAACAACAAAGCAACCCCAAACTAAACCCTCTACAACATATTTCTTGAAAAACTTGTCTACCTACAACCCCAACAAAGTTACAGAACTCACCGTTTTCATCATGACAAATTACACGAGTTCCTCGGCCCGCAGCTGGTTCTGCCGTCCATTACCGCCGCTGGGGTGGTCGGCGTACTCCTGAAAGGAAACCGCCTGCCATTTTTCTTCTTCAAACTGTGCGCGTAGCGCATCTGGGGCGCCGGGGGCGAAGCCAGAGCGTACGATTTCAAATGGCGTTTGACGAATGTTGGCAAAGGGAGTTGTTCTATGGTGTAGACGGTTGTACGGGCCACTATGGCGCGGCAACACAGCTCTTGGAGGCTTAAAACTAAACAAACATTGTTGCTACATGTTTTGGCTATCGTTAGGTGAAAACTGTTTGATGATATCCTTATTAACAAGGGAGGTATATACAGAAACAGTAAATGATGTTTGACAAAATTACAAAAATACAAGCGTGACTTTCAAGGCTTATATCTAAAAAACCAAAGGACACAGACAAAAATTTTAAAGTAAAAAATTGTTAACAATTTAGTAGGCTTTAACATAATCCATCCCGCGTTTTAACATCGTAACACAAACTGGAGTTATAAGGAAAAATACACACTGTTAACATAAAAAACAAGTCTAGCTTTAAAGGCTTCTAACTTTAAAACCAAAGTAGCTAGAAAAAAGTTACAAAATAAAAAATTACTCCAAATTTAATTCCCTACAACATGACTTAAACCGTTTTTTTATAGCTCAACTCGTAACTAAAAAAAACTAAAAAATTGAGAAACAGTAGGTAAATGATGTTCAACAAAATTACAGAAATACAAGTGTGACTTTGAAGGCTTATAACTAAAAAACTAGAGGACACAGAAAAAAAATTCAAACTAAAAAATTGTTTAAAATTTAGTAGTCTTTAACATAATCCATCGCGCGTTTTGACATCATAACACAAACGGAAGTTATAAGGAAAAATACACACTGTTAACATAAAAAACAAGTTAACTTTAAAAGCTTCTAACTTTAAAACTAAAGTAGCTAGAAAAAAGTTACAAACTAAAAAGTTACGCCAAATTTAATCCTCTACAACATGACTTAGGGCCGGTTTATCAATGTCCAGTTAAAGTTGCAGTTAGTTATCTGTTAGATAATTTCCATGGATACCATTGTTCTCACAACGATCGATATGAAATTTAACTTTCAGATAGACTAACTGGAACTTAACTAGAGATTGATAAACCGGCCCTTAAACCGTTTTTTTATAGCTCAACTCGTAACTACTAAAAACTAAAAAATTGAGAAACAGTAGGTAAATGATGTTCAACAAAATTACAGAAACACAAGTGTGATTTTGAAGGCTTATAACTAAAAAACCAGAGGACACAGACAAAAAATTTTAACTAAAAAAGTGTTCAAAATTTAGTAGGCTTTAACATAATGCATCCCGCGTTTTAACATCATAACACAAACTGGAGTTATAAGGAAAAATACACACTGTTAACATAAAAAACAAGTTAGCTTTAAAAACTTATAACTTTAAAACTTAAGTGGCTAGAAAAAAGTTGCAAACTAAAAAATTACTCAAAATTGAATCCCCTACAACATGACTTAAACCATTTTTTTATAGCTCAACTCATAAGTAATAAACACTAAAAAATACACCTACCTTTATTTGACCGCCATAGTCTTTCTAAACCGTTTCTCTGCAGCGCCATTCGCGATAACTCGCAAAAACTCTCGTGTATGTTGAAATTACACAAAGGCGAAACTTCAAAGAAAGCCATATTATGTTTGTTAGCATAAGTTTCCGCGTCTCGTTGCCCAACTTTACGATCAAACTCCAAATGTTTTCTGTTTCCCACTAAAACTTTAGGGACTCCAGGTGTATGCTCATCCACTTCTTTCAACCAACGATCTAAGCCATCGAAACTCCATCTGTTTGTTATGTCGTACACCAAAAACACACCTTGTGCACCACGCGAGTATGATCTTATTATAGTGCAGAATCTGCCTTGCCCTGATGCCTCCCACAGCTGCAACTTCACCCTTTTACCATCCAATAGAATGGTGGTTGTTTTGTGGGCCCCATGGCCACAAAAAGGGTTGTATTCCCCTTCATCAAAGTTGGAGAGGATCTCATGTTTGCCAACATCACTATCACCCACTAGAATGAACTTTAGGAAGTAATCATACTCTTTTTGTATTGTTTTAGGTGCTTCGAGGTATGCCATATCAAAATTGATTTACCCAATGTAAACATAATAGTTATGGCTGTAAAATAACACTTTTCCTGTAGTTTATCCTGTTGTATAACTTTTTTGAGGGTTATTTATCCTTATTTTGCTTATGAGCACCATGTTCCACTTAACAAAAAAAAATTTCATATTAAAAACTAACTACAACTTTAAAGTTATATTTTATTGAAAATGGTTACAAACTACAGGTTTAGTCAGTGGCGTATTTAGGATTTAGCTCCGGGGGGGGTCCAAAAAAACTAACTAAATATGTATACATATTTAGTTAGTTTTTTTGGACCCCCCCCCGGAGCTAAATCCTAAATACTATACTATGCTATGCTTTAATAACTAAAAAATCACAAATTAGGAACTCTTCTGATCCGATAAAATAGTAAATAAAAGGAACTTTTTTTGTAATAAAAATAATAAAATATGTGCGCCCGGGGGGGGTCCGGACCCGGCGGACCCCCCCCTAAATACGCCACTGGGTTTAGTAGGCTTTAACATCAAAAACACTCAAAAATAATCGACTTACTACATAAAAAAGATAAAATTAAAGTACTACTTACATTCCTTTTAAAATTATATAAACATCTGTTCAAACTCAAATTGTGACGTAATTTTAACCTAAAGCACCATTTTTCATGCACTGACAACTCAAAAAATTGAACTTTAATGAATATTTTGTCGTTTTCCGACGTATTTTAAGGTCTTTTTCGTTTAATTGCCATAAAAACAATCTTTGGAAATTTATCTGTCAATAATGTCAATAAATCTTCTTCTTCGGAGGGGTTTTACAACACCACCAACATTATAACGAGAAATATACCAACTGGCAAGCTTAAGTTTAGTTTACACTATATTTTATGACAGAAAAATATTTCAAAACGCTTGTTTTGTAAGAAAAAAATATTAAATAGTTAAATTTATACCTAAACAATGTAATATTATACGTAAATATAGTTAAATAATTGTGTTGTTTTGTTTTCTTTTTCGTATTTATTTCAAAGTTAGTGCAAAGGCGCCTTAATTATTTTAGTTTTCTCGGGTTGGTACTGCCTAACTGTCATTCCACTTGTCAAAATCAGTTCCTTCTTGAACTCGTTCGAGTGCGTTTGTGTCTTTTGCATTTCCAACGTACAAAATCGCGTAAAATGGCAACTTTAAGGCAAATGCCGTTAACGTGCAGTGGACACACAAGACCCGTGGTGCATTTGGACTTCAGCGAAGTAACGCAAAGCGGTTATTTCCTAATTTCAGCATGTAAAGGTGCGTATTCTCTCTTGGTTTACAGTTTTTAACCTTACCTTCGCAAGAAACCCACCTTGGCCTAATTACGGCCTCAAAGAAACCCTACCTGTAGTTTGGCCTTAAAATGAAGCGTATTCACAGTTTTCTTTGTTTTATACTTCCTATTTATAGTTTATTGTAATATTACGCCTTATTTTTGTATTATAATTGTTTATATTTGCTATGTTTTAAGTTTTGTCAAATATTTGCATACATTTTTTTTGCAATATATAAACAATATTAGTGATTTTTCTTATCTTTAATTGTGTTATTATGGTTTTAATGCAATAATTTTTGATAATATTATCATAATTGTACATTTTATGCAGATTATATTAACAAAAAATATGTTTAAAAATGCTCGCCTGTGACGTCAAAATTGACAAAACTCAAAAACTAGAAACATTACAAAAAAGTTGTCAAGTAATAAAATGTTTAAAAATTAATTATCTTTACTTGGTTTAAACCAACATTTATTAACATAATCCACAAATGAGTTATAATACAAAGTACTCATAAAAACGTTAGTAAAATATCCCAACTTCAAACTCTTATAACTCACTTATCATAACTCGTAGAGAAAACTTACTAAATACAAAATTACAGTAAAATTAATGTTCTACAACATACATTTTACAATTTTTCTCTATCTCATTTCATTTAGACGGGAAACCGATGCTAAGACAGGGCGACACCGGTGATTGGATCGGCACTTTCGAAGGTCATAAGGGGGCTGTTTGGGGGGTGGCTCTTAATTCGGAGGCGACTAGGGCTGCGTCCGGGGCCGCGGATTTCTCTTGCAAAGTTTGGGACGCCGTCAGCGGCGAGGAGTTGCACAATTTCCAACACAATCACATAGTGAAGAGCGTCAGGTTTAGCAGCAAGAACAGCAATTTGCTGGTTACCGGTAGCAACGAAAAATTGGTCAGGATATTCGATCTGAATAACCCGGAAGCGAGTAAGTATACATAGAGGTCATTTTCAAGAAACACCCGCTTTCAGGAAAATTAAGATCAAATTTTTTTTTTGCTTAAATTGACTTTTGGTTGGATTTTTAATTAAATTTACACATTAGCGACTTTTCCGAAAAACGGACTGGGGGTTGCCAAAATGCAAAAAATACGTGTGGAGGGATGTAAAAGTGCATAAGCAATCGGCGCAAGGTAAAAAAGTTGTATAATTATCACGTAATTAATAAAAAGGGCTGATAATTGAAGTGACTTACAGTGATTTTCTGTGAAAAAGAGCATGTAGCGAGTCAAAAACACGTATCTAATAGACGTAGAATTTGAAAGTGAATTGAAAAAGCTTGAATTATGAAAAACAACGTCATAAATTGCGGAAAATGCAATTTTTAAAATCAGGTAATTTGAGGTTATGCAGGTTCACAATCCAGCCTGCCCATAGATATATTTTTGGGTTGGTTTCGCTCACCTTTGCCCATTTTAGTGTACCTGCATAACCAAGATGACAGCTAATCGTCATAACCTCAAATTACCTGATTTTAAAAATTGCATTTTCCTCAATTCATGACGTTGTTTTTCATAATTCACGCTTTTTCACTTCCATTTTCAAATTCTACGTCTATTAGATACGTGTTTTTGGCTCGCTGCATGTTCTTTTTCACAGAAAATCACGGTAAGTCACTTCAATTATCAGCCCCTTTTTTTATTAAATACGCGATAATTATACAACTTTTTCACCCTGCGCCGATTGTTTACATCCCTCCACACCTATTTTTGGCATTTTGGCAACTTTCCTGCCGTTTTTCGGAAAAGTCGCTAAAGTGAAAATTTACCCAATAAAAAAAATAATTTGAAATAAAATGTACTTAGTTCACAAACTTTTGACTCCATTTTTTATTTTATTTTTTATTAAAAATTGTATGCTTTTTTTAAATATTTACGTTCGTTAACTTACTTTTAAAAAAAAACCATTCCGATTCTTTGTTAAAAAAACAATACCATTAATATTTTCTTTTAGTCACTGTATTAGTGAGTTAAACTCTAATTTATAAACACCTATTATACCAAGTGATAGTGTATAAAAATCATTTTAAGTATTTTTTTTAACAAAAACTAAAAAAGTAACGCAATAGACATTGGTATCACAACGGACTGGGGTACACAAAGAACTTAATCAGATAACGTAAAAAAGAAACTATATAGGGTGGTACGATTTTAGAGTAATGCATAAACAAAATCCCTTGTAGTGGTGCTCACTTGCAGAATAACAACTTAGATTTCTAAATTGTAGACACCCTTTTTCTTTGACTATAAGCTGGTGAAGGTCTCTTTTAGTACTTTTATATTGCGTGGAATTTTTCCTTGGATGTAATCTTTATCATGAGTTGTAATTACAAATAATTTTAAATTGGTTAATCAAAAACTACTTTTAATAAAAGCGACGGTAAATATCCACTTTGTTGTCGAAAAATTCTATTGCGTTACCCTAAAATCCAATGCCTTACCATAAGGTAACATAGTGGACTCGGTAACGCAGTGGACAAAGTTTTGTGAAACCATATTTAAAAAATAATAATAAGACATTACAGTCATTAATTACTCTCAATGAGCTTTGGTGCCCCAAAATAAACATAATCATGAAAAATAGTATTTAAATTAAATAAATAAATTCAGCTGGGTAATGTGTACGTCCGAACATCATTTGTGGATCACGTGAGTGCCATAAATATGTTTTTTTTAATATTCTATCGGTAACGCGACGGACGTAACGCAACGGAAAAAATGTCTGGGACATGAGTCAAATTTAAAAAAAGTAGATTAAAATAAATTATTTTATATAAATTGTTTACTGTATTAACTAAGGATGTTATGGATTGCTATAAAGCAACACAAAGTTCTGGTTATTCAATATTAAAAAAAAAACATGTATGTTAGTTTTATAAAACGCTAATGGGACATGCGAAAATGTGTGTTTCACAAGTTTTAAAATTAAAAAAAAATTATTCTGAAATAACTAAACAAACATTTTCTGAAAGAGTTTACTAAGGGCTTGTTAGGCTTTCACTTGGTTGTTAAATCAATAAGATCCGATAATTTTTAACAAAGTTATCGGGTTTTTTGAAAACGACCCATACATCTCACCGCTCTGCCCGCAACTCCAACGTATATAAGCCCGATCACAAATCGTCGTTTCTGCGCAGGTCCGGAAGTGTTTACGGGGCATACAGCCGGCATAAAGCACGCGCTGTTCTTCCGCGACGACACGCAGCTGATCAGCTGCGCGGACGACAAGACTCTGCGCGTGTGGGACAGGGCGGCCAAGCAGGAGGTGAACCGCCTAGATTTTCCCTCGAGCTTGAGCAGCCTGGAGGTGTCCAAAGACGGGTCGGTGTTGACCTTGACGTACGCCAACAAGGTTGCCTTCTACGACGCGGATAACTTGACGAAGATCAGGGAGTTCACGCTGCCCACCACCGTAAACTCGGCATCGTTGCACCCGGATAAGAGCATCTTTGTGGCGGGAGGGGACGATTTGAAGGTGTACAAATACGATTACACGACTGGAAATGAGATTGGTGAGTAGCTTGTGCAAAATAATCGATCCACACAAATTTTCGATGAATTTCAATCGCAAATAACTTTTTTATTTGATGTCGGATTTAAACGAATGTTAAAGAATATTGTAGATAAATTAATGGACAATCGCTCACATTTTAAAAAATACCAAAAAATAGACATACGTTTATAATATACAGGTTTAAATAAAAATATGTTTTTTACCATCAGTTTAAGACACTCTGTAGAGTGGCAAAACCGTATATTGTTCTAAATTATTATCAAGTCACATCTATTCTTAACAGTTTTGTTTTTGGTTCACCTCGATATATTTATTTTTGTGGAAAATATGGATTTTTTTAAAAAACATTGCAATTTCCAATATTTTTCTGTATGAAGAACTAAGGTTGCCATGGTCCATCCATAGGCTATGGAGAATGACAGTGACAGTTTTGTTGAATCATCCCATACTTGGACATGTCATACACGGCTTTCAAAAGCTATCAAATTGTTTTTTGCAAATTAATGTTTAAATTTTGAGGTGTCTTCTTACTTTAAAAAATGATGTCTCCGACTGATGTTGCCAGAGCCATTAATTTAATTCAGGATGGACGGTTACAGTATTACGAGGCAAGTGTTTTAAACGTCACAAGAAGTAAAGTACAAAGGGCAACATCAGTCGGAGACATTTGTAAAAGTAAGAAGACACCTCAAAATTAACACATTTATTTACAAAAAACAATTTGATTGCTTTTAAAAGCTGTATATGACATGTCCAAGTATGGGATGATTCAACAAAACTGTCACTGTCATTCTCCATAGGCTATGGATGGACCATAGCAACCTTAGTTCTTCATACAGAAAAATATTTGAAATTGCAATGTTTTTTTTAAAAATCCATATTTTCCACAAAAATAAATATATTGAGGTGAACCAAAAACAAAACTGTTAAGAATAGATGTGACTTGATAAATAAAACTTAATTTAGAACAATATACGGTTTTGCCACTCTACAGAGTGTCTTAAACTTATGGTAAAAAACATATTTTTGTTTAAACCTGTATATTATAAACGTACGTGTATTTTTTAGTATTTTTTTAAAATGTGAGCGATTGTCCATTAATTTATCTACAATATTCTTTAATATTCGTTTAAATCCGACATCAAATAAAAAAGTTATTTGCGATTGAAATTCATCGAAAATTTGTGTGGATCGATTATTTTGCACGTGAGTGTATTAAATAAATTCAAGGACGTCATTGTTTCGTTTTAGAATCTTTCAAGGGTCACTTTGGGCCGATCCACTGCCTGAAATTCTCACCAGATGGCGAGCTCTACGCCTCGGGCTCGGAGGACGGAACATTGAGGTTATGGCAAACGACGGTTGGCAAAACGTACGGGCTTTGGAAGTGCGTGGACGGCAACCAGCTTAACAATGACGTCATGTCCCCACCCAAAGAAGTACAGGCCAACTAACTTAAAAATGATGAAATTTCTCGCGTATATTTTTTATTTATTATTACATGCATTTTTCCCTAATTATTTCGAATGTGATGCTCCAATATGCTATAAATTATAAAGAAAACAAAAACAAATGACTGAAGTGTGATTATATGAAAAGTAGTGTTTTCGCAATGAAGCGAAAATAGACTTTTCGAATATATTATTTATATACTTATTACATTTCTTAGTAAATAAAGTTTTTTAAAAAAATGTACGTTTTATTAAAGAAAAATACGCTATAGAAGTGATGTAATGTGGTTGGCTGTAAAAAGGCGCGTGGATTAAGCTATAAACACCACAAAAGAAAAACTGAAAAATTGTGAAATTTTTAGAAAAATTGACTTTTGCATTTTTTCATTTTATTCAAAGGGTAATACGAAAAAATTCTAAAGTAAATTTTTATAAAAAGTTATAAATTTTTACGGATACTATCCGTACACTGATTTCGATAAAAAAGGAATATTATGATTATAATAAATATTCCGTTTATTTTAATTCAGTAAAAATATTCTACCAGGTCACAAAAAAAACATATTTGGTGCTGTTATAGTATATTTAACGTTTACGTATATTTTTTTTAAATAAGGATATTTTTTTAAAATTAAAATAATGTTAGTTATTAATTGTCACTTTTTTCAATTGTGTGTATTTCCCAAAAAAATATTTTTTTCCCAAAAGGCCAATTTTTGCAAAGCCTGAAAAAAAATCAGTTTTTTTCACAATTTTTCCGGTTTTTTTCGACACTTTAAAACCCTAGTCGGGGCTCAGGTTAAAAATTAATTTAAAAATCTGAAACTTTGGAAGGATCTTCAGAAGAGTAAAAAAGTAAGAAAAACCTCGTTTGAAAAAAAAATATGATTTTTGTAACTAGTAATTTTTTCAATTTTTATAAAAGTGGTCATTATCAGGTTAAAAATTAATTTAAAAATCTAAAACTTTGAAAATACCTTCAGAAGAGTTAAAAAGTAAAAAAAAACTTTTTTTCCAATTATTCCGTTTTTTTTCGGCACTTTAAAACCTTTCACAATACCAAATGATTTGTGTTGCTAATGTGCACATTTTAAAAATATTTTGATAACACTTTATATTATGAGATTAAAAAAAACATTGACTCAAAAAGGAAATATTAGGTACTACTCACCACCAAACAAACTTTATTGACAAAATTAGTTTATCTATGTGTATATATATGTATATATTTACTTAAGCAGATAATACGTTAGTATAACCTTTCACATAAGGTAAAAAAGTCTCGATTTGTGATTTTTAGTTATTTTTAAGTAAAACATTAAAAAATGCGTTTAAAATTAGTGCTACTTCCTATTTTTTTAAACACTTTAATCCATGTGATATACAGCCAAGATTGTACTGACCTGGGTGTTAAAAAATCCTGTAACAAAAATGAAAACTGTTTAGATTGTATGAAAGAACATGAATGTTGTAACTGGTGTTTATATGGACAATTTAATACGGTAAGTTTAATTTAAAAAATAACATTTTTATTATTTACATATATAATAAATATTATTTAAATACTTAAATTAGATAAATACAGCATTCATAAGGTATTTTTAGGGTTTTATCATACTAAGTCATTATAAAACAATTTAGAGATTTATCTTACTAACATATCAGTTAATACTTAAATGATGATATTTCTAACGATTTTAATTTTAAAATTTTGAAATTTTGTCCTACCAATGCAATTTTTTTGATTCTGAACTAATGTGCGATTTTGTCCTACCTTTTTTCCGATCTCGAAACCTGCATAACAGGTTTTGGTGATAAATAGAGATTTCTAACCTAAAAGTGAAAAAAACGCGTTTTGTTAGGTCACAAAATACCTATACATTCTCCATAAACCTTATAAAATGGGCATTTTTAATCAATTTTTTCTTTAGGGCTATAGTTGCGACACTTTGACTGATTCATGTAATGGAACCATTACACTAAATAGCCCCACACAAATTACAGATCATAGTAATGAAACATTTTCCCAGGAGTATAAAGGCGATGAAACCAATCAAATAGTGCCAAAAAAATTTAATTTGACACTTCGAATAAGTAAGATTAAAAAAATCTACCAATTAAAAAAAAAAATTAAAATGTCCATGTTTTGCATACTCTAAGGTGTTGTTACGTAAAGTATCTTAAAGCATAGAATACATGGATATAATCTTGAAGCATTCAGGGTGTCACGCCAAAATAAAAAAGTTTTTCATTATCATTTTTTTAAATAAAAAAATCATTAAAATTTTATTGGTAAAGGAGAAAATTTGGGTTACCACTGGTTGTTAATGAAAACTTTCTTGTTTATAAGGTGACACCTAGGATAATTTATAGCATCAGACATTTTAAATGCTTTACATTTTTTTGTAGATAAACCTTTAAACATAAGTTTTTACTACAAACCTGTTCAAAAATATCCCCTGAACTTATATTATTTGGTCGATATTAGCTATACCATGAAAGACCATATAGAGGACCTTAAAAAGTTGGGAGACGATCTTAAAGAGTTAAACTTCACCAATGACTACCAAGTGGGTTTGGGGTCATTTATGGACAAACCTTTGATGCCTTTCTACAGAACAGGGCTAAATTACGAAAACAACCCCTGTTATCGCAGTGAAGCCGGGTCTTGCGCGAAAGGTTACCTCTTCAAACATGTTTTGAACTTCACCGACAAAATGCAAGATTTTACCACAGAGGTAGTTATGTCCTTTAAGCCTGAGTACCAACTAATGCAGGACCATGATAGATAAGCAATAAATTTCTTCTAGGTTCACAAACTGTATACTTCAGCCAATTTGGACGATGTAGATGGCGCCTCTTCAGCGTTGATGCAGATCCTGAACTGCCAGGATGAGTTTAAATGGAGAGGGGCTTCAAGAAAACAAATTTTGATTGCTACCAGTAGCTTGATGCACTGGGCTGGCGATGGTCTGTTGAGCGGGTCTGTTAAGAGCCATCCGATGAAATGTTTGAGTGAAGAAAATTTAACTTCCAGCATTTACGATTACCCCTCTTTGGGGGATATTATATCCGAGCTTAAAGATCATAAGGTATACCTTTGGTAGTTGTGATTGCAAACACAACCTATACTAATGCTGCTAATTCTTTCCATAGACCAACTTGATCATAGCCACGAAACCGGATACAAGAGCATACTACAACAAATTTAGGGAAGTTCTGGGCCAAAATTGCTTCGTAGGGGAATTGAAGACGAACGATACGAAAAATATAATGAAGCTATTGGAGGATGGTTACAACCAATTCATCAAATCGGCCGAATTTTTTGCAAACCACACCCGCCAAGAATTTTTGAGCGTTGAATTTTACAACAACTGTTCGGGGGTTTTCAACAAGTCGGCCACATGCGATGACGTTGATGGAAGCACTCCTATAGAAGTTATTGCGGAGTTCAAGTTGATAGGTGAACCACCACAAGGCCTTGAAGAGGTAATTAAATGAAGGGCTCACCAATTACCCAGCAAACACAAGCGTACACAGCTAAAATGCCATTGTTAAGCCATGTAATGGGCCATTATAATCAGACTTTTGTGTTTGCTGGGTAGGATGTCCGAGGTTTAGTTTAAACCGTTACTAGCACTATAACATGCTTTAGGATGAAATACTGATTGAGGAAAGAAGCATAGAAGAACAAATTAACATTCATGTGGAGTATAAAGGATTTAATTGTATTTGTAACGATGTTCCCGAAACTATGACAAAACGAAGCGTTGTGACTTGCATTCATGGAAAAAAGGATTGCGATGGGTGCCAGTGCGACCCAGGATGGTAAAGTATACTTTCTAGCTACGAGGGTTAATAAAAAACTGTGTAGATGTGGATGGATAATTTTTCCTCTGTTTTTGGTGCACCGTATAATCACTATTTTTTCAGGACTGGGTTAGATTGTAGCAAAACGTGTCTGGACTCTTTTGAAACCTGTCGAGCTAATAATAGTTTAACCTGCAGTCATAAGTAAGTAAAAAAAATTGAAGCTACCAAAGCTTCTTAAATTATATTTTTTAGTGGGGATTGTATATGTGGGAGATGTAAATGTCAAAATAAATATTCTGGAGAGTTTTGCCAATATAGATGTCCAATTGCCAACGATAGAGTTTGTAATGGTAAGATAAGAACTTACTATGTTTTTTTCTAGAGTTTAAGCAAAGTACCCAACTTAATTTTAAGGTAACTGTCGTGTCCAATGTTGCAAATTATGTGTTAGGTCATGCAGATGTTTAAGGTTACTTATCCGATTTTGCAGATGGCCCTTTCCTCCCTTGGCTGTCATCTTTTGTTTGTCTCGTGAAAAGCGATTTTTTCAATGAATTTATTCCATACTTTAAATGAAGTTGCTACTTCATTAAAATTAATTACTTTTCAGGTCAACTATGTATGGATGGCAATTGCATATGCAACAAAGACTTTACTGGCGAATTGTGCGACTGTCCAATTTCCAAAATAAACTGCCAACTCCTCGGTAAAGCTTGTTTGGACAATGGAGCTTGTGTTTGTAACCAGTGCGAATGTAACGAAGGATTCACCGGAAAATTTTGTAACATCGATAAAACCACGAACACCGATGTAATTTGCGATAATTTGGAAAGCTGCGTTTTGGAAAAATACAACGAAGAAAACTCGGAAAAGCCATGCACAACAACAGTAATAGTAAAAAGTGTGAATACCAACGATGATATGGATTGTTCCACAATCTACGAGAAAAAGGGCAAAATTTGCACAATAAATTTCGAGTTTTCGATGAAGGAAAATACTGTTTACCACACAGAACCGAACTGCAACGTAAAAAGCCAAGCGCGCGCCTATATTTATGGAGGTATAGGCGTTCTTGTACCGATTTTGGCAGTTTTTCTAGGCTTAATAATATGGAAAAGTTATGTAACAAGAAAGGACCGCATTGAATATGAGGCCTTCATAAAAGAGCAATCATTTAGCGAGCACCATAATAACCCTTTATACAAAAATCCTGTTACGCAGTATGAAAATCCTCTATTGGGCCAAAAAAACAAATAATTTTTATCAAAATCGCTTGATAATGAAAAAGTTGGTCGCCAAAATATCAAAATCGAAGTTGTGTTGTTTACTCTCAATTTTTATGCTTTGACTGTTTTTTATGCCAATATATTGTTTTATATGTACAAAATACAATGTTTTATTATAAATTGTTGTTTTATTATAATTATTTTAATATACGAGGTGTGTTCAGAAAATATCAGGAATTTTCGTTTTTTGAAACAAATATTTATTTATTCGTCTACATTAATGATGTCGCCTTCAAAATAGTCCCCATTGGATATTATACACATGTGCCAGCTCTTCTTCCAATACTCGAAACACTTCTAAAACTCGATCTTTGGGATAGCCTTTAGTTCTTTCAGCGATGCGCTTTTAATGTCATCTATGCTTGCAAAACGACGGCCCTTTAAGGTTCTCTTTATTTTTGGGAATAGGAAAAAGTCAGACAGAGTCATGTCTGGCGAATATGGAGGCTGGGGCATCATTACAGTATTCTTTTTGGCCAACAATTTTGTTCAAAATTTAACAATTTTAGAACAAATTTTGCTGCCACGCGTTTCATACCCAAAACATTCGAAAAAATTTCATGGGGTGAGCCAATCGATTTACCAACATCATCAGCGACTTCTCTGATGGTTTATAACCATTTTTTCCACTTTTTCCATGTTTTTATCGGTTGTTAATGCGCTTGTGCGTTCGGGGCGTTCGTCATCTTCAACGTCTTCACGGCCATCTTGGAAACTCTTATACCACTTGTAAACTCTTGTTTTACTTATAGCAAACTCACTATAGGCCTTTGTTAACATTTCACAGAATTTATTTCATTTTTTAAGCAAAATTGGATACAAATTCTTTGATCCATTTCTTTAAACGAACGAAAAATCGCCGAGCTCATAAAACACGTCTAACCTTAGCGGCTGCCACAGACAAAGTAAACAATGAAAACAGCTAAAGTTTTTATCAAACTTCGGGGGCATGTATACCAACATAATAAAGAAAATTTTATGACAACCGGACCCTCCGAACCCGCGAAATTTAACAATTTCCGTTATTTTCTGAACACACCTCGTATATATATTATTAAGAGTAAGATCCTCCTTCTTGCAATTTCTTCCATTTTAACATTGGTCTGATGAAAAACATTTTGTATCTCACTAACAAATGAATATAAAGCCAAGTCAAAGAAGCATATCCTATGATTTTTTCGTAAACCAAGACATTTAAAAGATATCTTGGGATAAAATTTTATAAATTTTGATAAAATTAAACATTTTTTTTTCCAAAAAGTTATCACTTCCAGAAGAGTTCTGCATAAATTATTTTTGCTAATTACAACAATAATTTATTGGGGCATATAATAATTTAGGTGGTTTATAAATAAATATTTTTCACCAAAATAAAATATACCTACTTACAACAATTTTTTTTTTATAAATATAACAAAAAAAGTATTTTACAAATCCCTTTTCGTATAAAATAAAACTTTTTTTATAATATTAATAAAATTTATGTAAATTTAACAACAAATCAATTGTTAATTCAATAAACTATTTTCATTGTAACCATGGTCACATTTTCAACCTACTGTTGGGTGTTGGGTAGTTTTTTTTAAATAATTGCAAGGCATTAAAACAAACTATTTATTATATATAACAAAAAAATTAACTCATATTATATGATGTGCAAAAAAAAAATATGAACTCACTTTTTAAACAACAAGTCTGCTTCGTTTATAGAATAGACCTTAAATATTTCTTTTAGAACACGTCGAAATTTTAATTTTCTTGGTGATCTTTTCGATATTTTTATCATGCTAGATTTTACCACACTTCACTCGCACAAGTAAAATCAATAATATTGTAACATAGACTGTGGAATATAAAGTTATGTTCACCAAGGAGAGCGCTGGCCCTTTCCCCCTTTTTTTAAGGGAAATAACAAAAATTTTGTTACCATTGCAAAACAATAGTAAATATTAAAAAAGTCTTTTTATAGCAATAAAATATTTTTGTTATTGTTCTTAACGATAGTAATTTAAAAAAGATTTTGGGCAAAATGTAGGATGACTGTTTTGCACATTCATTGTTAATGTTTTTGTATCTCCGTGTAGACTTGTACTTTGTTAAACATCAAACTCGTCATCTAACCGCTAGATGTCTTGAGCAGTGCGGTTTCCTCATTTTTCTAGCATCGACATCTCTAGGAGGAAGTCCTGCAATCGTGCGGCATTCCCACCTAAGTTTAGATGTTCAGCTGTTTTGCTTCAGTGTCTTAAGAACGCGCATACGGACGTCACCTCGCCGCACGCGTATGTTGTGCTACGGTATCTCGAGGAATAAATAAATGAGTGAAAATTGTTTTTGGTGTCAGTACTGGGAACAAAGTTGTGTGTCCTGTAAGGAGATAATATAGTTTTGGTGGGTATTTTTTCTATATATATATATATATTTTAAAAAAAATACCAAAATTGGCGCAGAAATTTACGTTAAAACTATAAATTATAGTGTTATTATTATTCTTAGAGTAAAACAGTTAGTAAAAAATGAATATTAAAAGTCTCTCATGCTTTAAAGTCGTTGTACCATAATATCTACCAGTATTAATGCGTTTTTCCTTCTAAAAACAGCGCAATTTAAATCTCATCAACTCATTTCACTTTTATTTTCAGACACCCGAAAATAATCTCAACAAAATGTAGATTCCTTCATAAATATACTCGAAAATGCCTCAAACGTTGCTTCACCATCACTACAACGGTCATAATGGTCATGCTATGACCAACGGTCATCACAATGGCTACCCGAACGGTCATGTAAACCACAACGGTCATACGAACCATAATGGTCATGGTCATTACATCCAGAACGGTCATGCCAAAACAAACGGTCATATTGGTGGTAAGTCATAAAATAATCTGACATACTTTGCATAAAAGTGTTAATTTTGTTTTGCACCTCACTGTATATTATGTGGGAAATGCCATACGAATGCAGTCACGCAAATGTCAAAAACCATTAACGCTATTAAAAATGATGTAAAATAAAAAGTAATTAGCTGTAATGAAAGCTTGAGTAGGTATATTTTGAGATATATCTCGGGAAGAACTTCAATTTAGAGGGGGAATTGAAATATATATCTCGTAGATATTTCACACTAAAATCTTTATTTTTAATTATCTCAGAAAACCCTCAATAGATTTACTTAAAAATTGGGATGTTTATAAATATATATCTCAAAAATATTGCGTTAAAATATAAATATATGTCTTGTAGTTAGTTTAGTGTAACAATTGTCTTTCTTTTTAAATATCTCGAAAATTACTTTTACATCTAATTCGAGATATTTATAAAACATATTTTAAGTCTAAATTTCAATACTATACATTTCCCAATTTTTGAGGTATAAAGTCACACTAAAATCTTTTTTTAAATATCTTGAAAAAATACATATACCTACTTCAAAGTCTTCAAGATATTTATAAAGCCATATCTTAGGAATGTTGTTTCTTAATTATAACATTATATCTCTTCTAATTTTTAAGATATAAATGAATTTTGAAAAACTTAAAATCTTTATTTTTAATTATCTCAGAAAACCCTTAATAGATTTACTTAAAAATTGGGATTGCTATAAATCCATATCTCAAAAATATTGCATTCAAACTTTGTTTTTTGTCACGTTGTGTTTTATTTTTAATATATCGTTTTGGTTATCGTCTCGTCGAGTATGTTTTGAGATATATCTCGGGGACAAGATAATTTAGAAACAGTGTGGGGATTTACCGCGAGATATATCTCGAAAATATTGTGTCCAAATATAAATATAATATGTCTTGTATTTAAATTAGTGTAAAAATCGTCTTTTTTTAAATATCTCGAAAATCACTTAAAGTATTTAAAGAGTCAAGATATTAATAAAGCCATATCTTAAAAATTTTATCTTTAAATTTTAACATCATATCTCTTATAATTTTAGAGATATAATTGAATTTTGTAAAACGACACATCAAAATCTATATTTTTAATTATCTCGGAAAATCCTTAAGATATTTAAATATTGGGATAAATCCATATCTCAAAAATATGATAGTTTTTGACATTATTTTTTTACTGTAGTCTTTATTTTAAATAAAACCATAATATTCGCGTCAATTTTGTTTTGAGATATATCTCGAAAATATTGTGACTTATTAAGCCGTGTCATAAAAATGTTCTAAATTTTAACATTATATATGTTGTAATTTTTGAGATATGATTGAATTTTTGATACTGCCAAATCTTTTTTTATAAATATCTCCCTTAAGGTATTTATAAATAAAACTATAGTTTAAATTGGAGATATTTATAAAATTATATCTTAAAAATATTCTGACACAATTTCGTGTACCGAAATAATTATTGTTTAAACTTGAAATACAATTAACCATATTATAATTATTGTTTTTTTATCATTTTTTACATCTTAATAATTGTGTCAATTATAATTTTTAACCATGAAATTCTCACTATTATGTTTTAAAAACGTAATGACCTTGATTACAAATTTAGTAGGTTTAGAGTTAAACCGTTGAGGAAAACGATAAAATATTATAACGGAACACTTAAAGAAAAGATCGAAAATAAGTAAATAAAATAAAATAAAATATATTTATGTAAAGAGGCGCACTTAAAAGTTAAAACTGCAATATAACTGTAAAGATTACGGGCCCTTGTCGCATAGAATTATTAATAATAAAACGTTAGACGCATACTTAGGAAATGCTTTGGAATTAGAAAAAAGTAGATTAAAGTGCAGAATAGCGTATCTACTTCCTTTGGGGATTTTTTGTCATAAATCTTTGCAGTTGGTTATATTACAGAAAATATATAAATATGTACATTACAATATTTTTTATGACAAGGCTTTCCACATAATTTCTTTTTTCCACTCCCACCTCTAAAACGCCCTTTATCGTACATGTTTCCATGACACTAAGTGACCTTTTAAATACACATTGACAAGTTGTGGCTTTACGGCGCTTTAGTCACGGGCTGAAGTTAGCAACAGGTTTTTAGTCACGGGCTGAAGTTAGTTTTAAGTTAGTTGACAGTTGTCAAATGTCATACAATCGTTAAAATAAAGTGCCTTTCTTGTAAAACAATACTAA